GCTCCAGGGGCACGGCTCCGGGAGCAAAGCTCCTCCGTGTGTACCAACGATTTCATGGGTATACTTAATCCTCGGGAGCAGAATTTACCCCCTGCAAAATGTTCCACGATATTTAACCGGTTAAATATTCGGGAGCAAGCTCCCGGGGCAAATTGAGCTAACTTGAAAACGCTCCCTCGTGTGTACTGACACTTTTTGTTGCGCGCGGATTAATACGGCAAATGTAAAACATCAACCAATCAAATTAGCCAATATTTTCGTCTACAATTCCTTTGGAACCCTTGACTCGTGCTCAAAAATCAACATGGCGTCGACTGAAAGTGTAAAAGTTGATGAGCTCGAATTCTGCGTTTGGAGTTCTCTTGTTTTAACAAAATCCGTCTGAATCTTCCACGGACAGTTCTCGAAAACTAACTTAAAAGCCCCTTTCTCCTGTCTTCTCAGAGGCCACAGGCGAGCCCATGCTTTGCTGGCAACTTTTTCAGTTACCAACTGATGAGTCATCTTCAAGCATCATCGTCATCATCATCATCATCATCAAAAGAATCAACTTTTTCTGTTTTGTTCTGGACCACAAGGACGTCGCCATGTTTAATTTTGAACTAGTTCCCAAATGCTCATCTGGTGAATATCAGCTATCCCACACCAAGTTTCTTCCGTTTGGTCCCTCGTGTGTACCATAACATGGAGCAAGCTCCCGCAGTATAAAAACTTGTGTGTACTGGCCGTGCAAAATGAACCTGGAGCATGCTCCGGGAGCAAAACCCCTCGTGCGTAAGGCCGAAACACACGAGAGGTTTACAGTAATGTCGTAGAAGGGAGAAAACGATAGTGAATAGATTACGGACTCCCGGCAACCAACCACAGTCAATTCTCGCGTGCTGCATGGGAATTTGATGTTTTCAGAGCTAAACTCGAGACAATAGAAAATCCCAAAGCAAAAAATTATCCAAATCTATGCATTTTATAGTACACTAATCAATTGCAGCATCGAAATTTTTTAAAGAAAATCTGTCGTCCAAGTTTGGTTTAATCGCTGTTTTCGTGAAAGTAGCCTTAGAAATTACAAAAAGAGCTCAGCATTGCGTTTGACCCCGATTCACGTGTTTTCGTGTTTTTCGAAATGGTGCAAATCTACTTGCGTTTATCCGATTGAGCCGTGTATAAGGGTCATTTGCAAAACGAATGAGCGATAAAACCTTTCCGGAAACATCAAAAAAGAGTCAATTTGTCTGCATAAAGTCCAGTCTTCAGTTCATGCATAATAAATGCATTTTTAAGAAATTCCAAGATATCTGTTGTGGAACTTCGCATAATGGAAGGCAAGCACCCAAAGTATACGCAGCGAAAAGCGAGAAGCATTTCCAAAGTTCGAGAAAAAATTCTATTCACCATTTTCGCATAGACCATAATGCACCTTGTTTACCCCCCCCCCCCACCCCCCCACAAATTTTGCAGAACCATTGTCTTGGATTTCTACTAAGACGACTGTTACACTCAGAAGAAATTGGAAACCTTGGTATGCAAACTTTGGGGGGGGAGGGGGGTAGACAAGGTGCGTTATGGTCTATGTGAAAGTAGTGAATTTTATGACCCCAACATAGCCGCCTTGTCACGTGGTTGCAAAAATAAACCAAGAACACATCATTCTCCAGTCTTTCAATTCGATTGGAACAGGAGTTACATATGTTTATCAATATGCTACAGAGCGTTTTCAGTCACGTGACCAGCTTTTATGCCAAATAAGTTGCAAGAAAAGGAAATCGTTTTCATAAGAAAAGACTTCAACTTCCACGGGATTGGTTTGGGACAAAAACATGCCCGCCGTTCAGTTTCAATGTTTTGAAACATCAATATAGCCGCCGTGACGTCAAGTGGAAACGCTCTATAATCATTATTTTTAAAATTAAAAACTGTTCTAGTTTTCTTAGAAAATCGGTGTCAACCAAACCGGTTTGGTGTTGCTTTACACTCCGTACCTCCCTTAGTAACGCCACCTGGCTACAATAACGTCTTAACTTCGTCACCAAGGTGTTATTGCAGGAAAGTTCAACTGTATTTGCATCAAAGTAAAAATGTAAGAAGGCGGTTTACGGCCATTTTGTATGACGTCATAAGTTTCGACAGCGCCTTTTTCATTCTTGTGATGTATTATTTACATCAACCAGATCAACTTCCTGTAGAGCTCGACACATGCAATCTGTGAAGAGTGTAATATATCCAAAATAATTCACCACGGGACAAAATTTCAAAACGTCCTAAAAGCGTACAGTTCTAAATTCTTATAAACATATTCTGTATTTGTAAACCCACCTGCCGCCCTTAATTGTCCACTGTTGACGTTTCAAAGTTAATTGACAGGCAGTTTCAGAACGGATTCAACTTTACGATGCAAGGTTTCAAATATTCGCTTGACGTTTTCACAGTTTAGTGCGTGCTAGTCACGTCGTCCGCTGCTGATGTTTTAAAGACTAAAATCATAGACGCGATTGCAAGCGGTCACCGTGGAAAACTTTATCGACGATTTGTTTTGTTTAAGTATTCTGAAAAGGTGTTGGCATGCCAACTCTCGAGTCGTTGAGGTTCATAAAGGTAAGCAAACGTGATCAAGTAGTTTCTAACCATGGATTACGTTTAGGATTTTCTGAGGGCAAGTCAAGAAACTATCACATCTCCTTACAAGTTAATGGAAGATTATGAAAAATAAAACGCTCCAGTGGCAGGTAAAAAAGAGTGAAACATATTGAAACATATTGCATTACCCCCTTAATGGACTTAATGCAAATGTTGATGAGACAAATTACCAAGCTATTAAGCCAACCTTGAAAACAAACTGCAATCAGGTTAAATGTAAAACTATGGATGTTTTCATGGCCGGACCGATTGTTACTCTTTAATTTATTACAAGAAAAAAGGTTGAGTTGTCATGCCGCTTCTAAGCGCTTTACTCTACAAAGTTATAAAAGCGTGTGCGTGGGCTTCGCATTTAAGGGAATGGAATCGCTTGCGATGTGTTACCAGGGGGCTTAAGAAAAGACGACGGCGATGGCAACGAAAACGTTAAAAAAGCATTAGGTCTAGATTGGTAAAGCAACAACTTTGAACGTGCATCACGCTTTTTTTGTACATTTCTTTGCCGTCATTGCATGACTACGACGTAAAAGTGCCTAAATTTCACATTTTGTGCAGGACGTGAACACAAGAGAACGACCCTCTTTTTCTTTTCCTGAACTTCGATTCAGTCTCGAATTCAGCTCCAGAAAACTTTGCCAATATTTGAAGAATTGAGCGAGGAGGAATAAGGGTGAAAAAGTTTTGAAGCAGCGCGATTTCACTATTTAAGTGGCGTACTTGTTGCCGTCGCCGTCCTTGTTGCTTAAGCTCCCTACCAACAAAATATCATCATACCTAGTTTTACTGAAACTGTATTAATGAACCGATCGATATATACCCATATGGGATGGAACTCATGCACCACCGAGTCGCTAAGTCGTCTGACTGTCGTAAATATCTTGATATCTTTATTGTATATACAGTGAAACCCTCAATAAGCGGTCACTCTCAGAGCACTCAACATTAGCAGAGCAGCGCTGAATAAGAGTTTAAAGAAAGTGTGGGAAGGAAAGTTTATGGATCTGTCTTCTTTTTTGAGGATATTCTGCAGACGAAGTGAAAATTAAAGAGTGAGATTATGAATGTCGTGCGCGTTTAACTCTTTAAACTCTGATATATCAAAGTTTCTATTCTCCTCTGTTGCCTTTAGATATATCCTGTAGAAGTAGTGATAGGAAGTTGTTAAAATGTCGGTTAAATTCATTTATGATCTTTCGGGATCATTTCCTAAATTCTCGTGACAACTCTGTTCTATAGAACACTGAGAAAAAAGGAGAAATTCTATACTGATCACTCTCCTAAAAATGTGAATGGAAGAAGGATGCCCGCTTAGAAGCTTTCACTGTTGTTCTCTTACTAGATTCTATTGACGCCCCAACACATTATGTAGGAAATGCTTTATTTGCTTTTAATAAAAGCCCTTTACTGATTAATTTTCGAGTTCTTAGACATTAAGAGAGTCGTATACCGCACTGACTTCTCTAACAATTACATGTAAAGGAGGTTTTCGAGATATCTGCGTCCTTTGTTTTTATGTATTAAATATTGCTTATAAATTTTTCAAAAGGGCCAGAGGAAAAATTAACTTAAAAGAAAAAACCTTCGTTGGTCAGGGATTTCGTGATAAAAGCTCATTTTTCATTAATGGCATTAACAAGTAAGGCCGGGTATTTCTCTTTTAACATCTTTGTTTATGAAGATGAATACTTTCGTTCGAGTAGGTCCACCACATCTAACTTCATATAGATTGTTACATTTCATCACTGTAAGATTAAAAGAACATCGCCTCAAGAATGGTTAGGCTTCCACGCCGTATAAGTGCCAGCGACACAAAGAGAATTTTGTTTTTGTTGGCTTGTGGCGTACTCTCTGAAAGTCAAACATTGTGAACAAACGCAGAGCGCAGAGCACAGAGAAATTCTTACTTCGATAAGGTCTTGGCCTGTGTGAAGTACTTGATAGGCTTCATATTACTCCTTATTGTATCTAATAATGTGAATTCCTTGCAAAACGCTGCGAAACGATAAACTCTTTGTCTAGTCTCTGTGGTTATTGCTATTGAAATTTTAATATTTATTAACATCAGCATTATAATAATTTTCATAACTGTCAACGGATTGTTCTGCGGCCGAAAGTCGCGTAATTAGTTAGAGACTTCCTTGACATGTTTACTGTACAAAACATGATCACAGAGCTAAACGTTGCATAAAACTAATGATTTTAATCCCAAAGTGCTCCAGAGGATTATCAGAGGAGGCCTGTTCCATTAAAGGACTCTGGAATAAAAGCTATTTAAGAGACTGCGTTTTGGAGTTGTTTTACAATATGGCACCTGCCGGCGAAAGACAGTTTTTACCAAAAGCGTAATTGCAATTTTGTCAATGCGGAAATTTCGGCTACAATGAGGAGGAAAGAGCCACGTTTAACATGGAAAAGCGAACTTTAATTCTGGTATTTTTTAGTGATTGCACTTCGAGATTAAACGCATTTTTTTTTTTACTTTATATGCGCGTGCTTACTCATAATTATTTTTCTCTCGACAGATTACCCTGTGCATCGCTGGTTTAAGTTATTGTGTGCTGTTCGCATCATGTGATGGTGAGTTGTCATAACTATTTTTTTGCAACCGTTTCACAAAAGATTGAGTATACAGCCTTACTGGAACACGTTTCTACCTTTAGGGTTTCTGACAGGACGGTTCAAAGGCTAAACAGTCAGACAGGTTTCTTAACATTATTGAGTAGATTAACTTTTAAATAACGGTCTCTCCCTAACTTCTGCAAAGCGTGAACTGAGTACTTTTCGCATAATATGGCTTGAATCCATTTCTAAGAAATAATATTGGCTCTTTTAGTGAGATGTGTAGAGGTATACAAATTATCCTTTAGTAAATGCTTATAGTTTTATAAACCAGGATATTAAGTTGGTAAAGAAAAAGGTTCAGACTGAATAATTTATCATTTCTTATAAACTTTGTTTTGGCCATAAGCCGCCAATTCTTTTTAGTAAAATTTTAATACAGGGAATACCAGCACGGGAGGGTAAGTACTTGAGAAAGTTCAAAAGACTACTAATCAGCCGAGAAGAATCCATTTAGAACACTTATCTTGCTTATGACTTAGCATAAGTGACATTGCGTTTTGTAGGTCATTATAATTAATTATAGATAATCAACGGGTTTTCTAATAAAAAGCAAGATAGTAATCATGATTCCAGTCTTGTAAAAAGTTATAACGACTTTTTTTCATCGTTAATAAGTATAAGCCGCAAAAAAAAAAATAAAAAAATAATCGTAAAGCTGTTCACCTCACAATTTCAAATCCAGGCCTACTTGCGCTCTCTCCGAGAGATCGTTAAGCCAAAGGAATAAGTTACATAATATCAAAATGTTACACTGACTTATGCGCTCTTCGAATTTTTTATTTTATACAAAAACATCACTCGTCGGCTTCTTTTTCCTGTGTTTTAAAACAAATTTTATCACATCAAAAAATTGGGCTGAAAAGGGTCGATGATTCTTTGCAAAGAGACTGTTGTTAAGCGCTCAATCATGAAGGTCATCTTTTATTAAAATGACCCATACAGCCAAGGAAAACTTATGTTCGTCGCTATAGATATTACGCACATCACAGGTAGACAAAAACAATTTGACCTCTAATTTCATAAAGCAACTTCGTCAATACTGGTTGACTGAAAACAAGTTATAGAGTTGACGAGTTGATCTGATACGTTAGAAAAAGACGTGGAATTTGCTCAATCGTAGTCAGAATGGTGCGATCAAAGCAAATAGAACAGCGACTTTAATTAGCGAACTATCTCGAAGAGAGAAAAGATGCAAAACGGTTGTTCAAGCCCACAAATTTCTTATAAGTTTGGGTCGCAAAAATGTGAAGATGTTGAATGTTATTAATTATTTTTGTTTCAGTTTCAAAGCCGTACTAACGCCTATACAACTATCATTTACAAATAAAGATTAAAAAAAAAAATGACAAACTATGAAATAAACTAAATTTATCAATCTTTTGATAATAATGAATGTTTATAGTTCGCTGTTTCTTTTTTTTTTTTCCTATTTATGTCTTCATATAGTAGTTACAGGAATGTAACTAGGTGTTTTACGCGAAAATCAAATGCCTTTTATTTTATTGAAAATCCCTCAACGGTGCACAGGTTTAATAATTTGAAAAACAAAATTTTGCTACCAAAGCAATACCCATGTTTTAAATGGGTGTCTCAATAGCCTTATGCAAAGATACCAGGGGCCCGTTTCTCGAAAGTCCCGATAATTAACGGGCCCGGTAAGCTGTTGCCGTTTACATTAAACGTCGAGGTTTCAATAGTTTTACATCTACCGTGATAAAACTATCAGTTAATGAAACAAAATGGAGTAGTTTGCTAGCCAGGACCCGCGCTCTTATTCTTTAAATTTCGATTTGAATATTTGTTTTCGGGCCCGAAAAGTTAGCGGGGCTTTCGAGAAACGGGCCCCTGCAGGGCCCAGTTGTTCGAACGCCGGTTAGCGCCAACCCGGGGTTAAATTAAATTTCAACCCGGGTTTCTTTATCTTTTTATCAAAAGCACTTTCTCGGATAATTTTCTCTATTCTTTTTAGAGCATCCAATTATCAAATTGTAGGCAAAGAGAATTAAACTGAATTTGCTTTTTAATCTCTCACATTTGAGTTCAAATTTCGCACTAACCCAGGGTTATCGATCTTAACCCAGCTTCGAACAATCCGTCCCAGAAGGTTATCGTAATTAATGAATATTTTAAAATGTTAAACTTTTGAAAGTTCATTTTAACCGATATTTTATACTTATACTAAGGGACTGTTAAGATGGTCGATGATCCTAGCACAAAATGCTTTCTGTATCCAGTTTACACGCAAAGGGTTGTTCTTGTCCCTAGCGCGAGGATCATCCTAGTAATAGCATCAGATCTTCCTAGCTGTCAGGCAGGAAGATCTTAGTACTAGGAAGATCCTATCACCATGTAAACTGCCTTCGCTAGGAAGATCCTAGTACTAGAGACAAACCAGACAAAGATGGCGGCGGGTCGTTAAGTGGGTAATCACGGCAATAAATGTGGACGATTTCATATGGCGTTACATACCACGAGCTGATAATTGTGATAATTCTGTTGAAAGGTAGTTAGTAAAGAGAGCATAAGGGTCTAAATTGCATTTTTACTATCGCACTCACCATCACCTAATAATTCCTCTTTTCCTTAGTAACCACACGGACCGAAATTTGTGCATGTAAACCCAATTGAAAGTTGTTCCGCCTACTAGGATTTTCATGGTGGCAAGTGTAGGATTCGAATCGGGATCAATGGGGCATTTCTGAGTTCCCTCTCACTCCCAAAATGAGGCAAAGTATAAAACCTTTGTTGTGAAAATGCTTTATTATATACATGAGAATAAAAAATCATTTTCATATCCATGGCTTCGCACTTGGCCTCGCTTTGAATTAGAGGCTTGACGCGACTCGGAAATGGTCTATTGAGGTTTCTGGGTAACTACCCACCTACCCCTTCCCTAAGTCAATTAATCCGATCCTTCCTGCCTTCATGTAACAGCCTCTGATTTGGTTGTATCTCTCCCAGGTAATGGTGTAACTCCTTTGATAGCACCACGTAATGTTACAGTTACAAACAAGACATCAACCGCACTACTGATCAACTGGACACACGTGAACCACTCTGAGTTACTCGGCTATAGAGTACGCTTTCATCGCAACATTACGTGTGATAGTGCTGGAAACTACACGAACTGTAGCTGCTCCATCTTCCTTTGCAAGAACTTCACCACCATTTGGTTAGAGGATCTGGAAATTTATACCGATTACTGGATCGAAGTGGTCGCGTTTAAAAATGGCACCTTCAGCGAAACTGATACCACTTTGGTGGCTAGAACAGATGAAGGGGGTAAGTTAGACGGCTTTGCTTTGTTAAGTTCCACAACTTTGGGTCAAAGCTAAGCTTAAATTACCACTAAGGCCTCATCAACACGTATCTAGACTTTTTTTGAAGACGGATAGTTTTTTCTCAGTCAGTTTCGAAAAAACAAGCCTTCACACGTAGCGACCTCGAATCGTTTTTGCCAGTCCATACAAAAAGTTTAACACTACAAATACGATATAGCATTCGTTACAGGGTACAGGCTGTATGACGTATGACATCATCGCATTCGAAAACCTTCGTTTTAGTACGACCACACGAAAATAAGCGGGCGTTCACCCAAAAAATCTCCGCTCTGGGGACCGTTTTCGAAAGCTTGCGTTTTTGGTGCCCGAAAACGCTAGTTATGTGTGGACTGAAGGCTAAAACGGGAAAAAATCCGTCTTCACAAATATCCGGATAAGTGTGGAGGGCGCCTAAATATTCTCAGTCGGAATTTTTTTTTCATAATTGCAACTCTAATAAAGAGATAGAGCGATTTTCGTATGACCTTGAAAACGGTTTTGGTAAGTGTTCTTTTCTTGTTGTGTCGAAAGATCAAAACATGGCCTCTTCGTTTCCCCGCCAAAGAAAACCCTACTATGGAGAGGGCATTGTTCTTTTGGCCAATCGTGTTGCAGTATGACTTCAAAGCGAAGTATCGATTGATTTCTAGAAAGTTCGCGGGCATGAAGTTTTTTCACCCGAGAGTTCGCTTAACCAACCAAAAAAGGAAAACAAAGTATGATCAATTTTTGGTCATTTTGGACAATACAAGAGTTCGTAAAAGTAAGCCCAATTTTTTTAGGTCAGAATCCGTTTCCATCCTATCCATCGGACAGACATGCACTTACAAATTATATTTGGGGAATGCACTCAAGTCAAGTGTTTATACAGTTTATACTAAAGGTGAATACAAATTTAATGCCAAAAAAAACGTGCATTAAGAAAAGAGTTCAACTCCCACAGGATTTTCTTGGTGCACCAACACCGCCGTTTCATTGTTTTGGAACACCAAAAAAATTGTTTTGGAACACCAGTGTTTTCACATGACGTCACGGCAGCTATATTAGTGTCCCAAAACAATGAAACGGCGGCCATGTTGGTGTCCCAAACAAATCCTGTGGGAATTGAGTTCCTTTCTTATGCAAACGCTTTCTTTTGTTCCAATAAATTTGCATAGGGGCTGGCCACATGAGTGAAAACACTCTATATGGCTGCCGTGACGTTAACTGAAAATGCTCCGCAGTGTGTCTCATGCTAAAATTTGAAATGCGAATGGCCATTAATTTAGATCTGGATCTTGATTCATCATGTTACAGTTGCCCTTTTGTGTGTGTTTTGCAGTAATTCTTACCTTTGACGATAACTCGAGGAACTGGACTTCATTTCTAGCAAATTCCAGTAACTGGCAATTAGCCCGCGGCTGCACTGTAATAGAGGGGACTAGGCTTTGTGATGATGGCTTTGGAGGAGGTACTCGTGATTACACTATATATTTCCAATCTACAGGGATCCATATTCGCAGTCGTCCGGTCGTCCCAGGCGACTACAATCTCGCAAGGACGTTCAGACGTCGTGCTTCTGCCCGTGCCGAACTTAATTGTAATTCGGTTCGACTGTAGCACGGCAGGAAAACAACTTTGATTCAGACGTCGTACCAGAGTCGAACCAAATTCAGGATTTACTGATGCCTCGTAACAATTCTCCTCTTAACTCCCCATGGGAATGCAATCTCGCCAAAATACATTAATATAATTTATGAATTTGGCTTAGCGCGGTAGAAGTACGACGTTTGAATCGCTGCCATGCCAGAGCCGTGTAGCGCGGCAGCACTTGTCGAACTTAATTGCTTGCCGAACTTAATTCAAAAGTTTGATTCAGACGCCGTACTTCTGCCGTGCTTTTGTCGAACTTAATTACTGAATTTAGTTCGGCACGGCAGAAGCACGACGTCTGAACCGGGCCTTAGATAGGCCCAAAAGTCGTCCTTCGGACGAGTGAGGTTTTAGTCAACCACAAGGTCTTTTCAAAAATTCATATGTGCAGGAGTTTCAATAAGCACCGACGGCCGACGAAACGCGTCGGCTACTTTGCTCGTAGAGGTCGACTACTTTTTTTTTCTAGTTTGAATAACGTTGTAAACAAAAAATATATCTTAAAATCTGAGTGAAAACGTAATTATGATGTGTTTTCCTAGAGGCCCACTGGTTTTACTTTATGCTTTAGTCATGTAAACGCGATATTTCAGTCATTTTTTCACAAGTTTCTTTATAGGTTTACGCAGAACATGTTTATGTGCAAAAGTATGTAATTATGTTTTCATTATTTGTTCATTGCTTGTAGGAATTGATTGTGTGACTGATAAATTGAAAGCTAAATTTTCTTCAATGTAAAACACGTTCTTTCGTCCTCAAATTTAGTCCCCGGAACGCTGAAAATCGCATTTTAGGGCTTTGAAATTTCAAAATTTTCTGGGGCAGACCGCGCCCATACCCCAGAAGAGACGTAACCTTCTTGTTTTCATGGCAAACAGACAGAGAGACAAGTAGACAGTTTAATAAACAAATACTTGTAAAACGTGAAGAAACTGTGTTTAGACTTGGGCCGGTATCTATTGTACTTTGTACCCAAATTGTAACCGGGCAAGTATACCATCAGGCTTACTTGCCCGGCTGACGACTCTGATAAAAAAATGAATATGGATCCCTGAAGTAGGCATCCAAATTGCAAGTCCTTCACTCAATAATGGTGCAAAACAATGAGTTTAAACTCGCACTACAGTCCCTTAAAATAATAACTTCTTCTCTGTGCTTAGCATGTTCCGACCCTCTCGGGATGGAGAGCAGAAAAATAACTGATGGCCAAATCACAGCTTCAACCGAATACGAGGCTGGATACGGCGCCACTAATGGCAGATTCAATTTCAAGGCTGGAGGAGGTAAGAGTGGCGCATGGTCCGCCCTCAGAAATGACGTTCATCAGTGGCTACAAGTGGATCTTGGAGCTAAAACCGAGGTGACAGGAATACAGATCCAGGGACGACAGGACTGTGATCAATGGGTTACGAGCTTTACTATCTCCTACAGCAGCGACGGCACCACCTATAGGCCTTATCAGAACAGCAAGGTATGTAAACCAATGAAAATCGTAGCAAGATAAACTCAACCAATTAACTAATTCAATTTCGACCCACTAAAACATAAAAATTTTTCAAGACCTCAGACCCACATCAAAAACGTAGCAACTCTGTTATGCTAGCTCCAAAAGTCTATTACTAGTTTAACCTTAACATTACATTTTCTCGCTCCAGGTCTTTAATGGAAACACGGATCGCGACACCGTGGTTTTGAACGTTTTGCACCCTTCCATAAATGCACGCTACATTCGGGTGCATCCTAAGACGTGGCGTGACCATATTTCTATGAGGATGGAACTCTTGGGATGTCCGTCAGGTGCTGACAATCTTGTTCGTTTTCTTCTTAATTAACAAACAAGTTCCACTTACTTTCACCTCAGCGGTAGACAATTAACTAGCATAGTCTTTCAACTGCAGTTCACTCCTCCTATTATTGCACAATCACAGGCCCCAATAATTTGTTCTAGACTCATGTAATCAATTTTATAGAATAATACGTTGTGCCTTTAAACTCAGAATCATACTTACGGCATACTTGGGCTGCGAAAAATAAAAAGGATCTACTTTAAATCAAATGCAATTTTACAAACATCGCTTTAGCGACAGTGAGTTTTAAAAGGACTTTGTTGCAAGTGGAACTTTTGCAACTATTTTTCGTACATTGTGCTGTGAATGATACACCAAGGGAAAATGCAAGTATTATCTGTAGATATAGTCTTATAACAACATTTTAAAAACTGACAATTCAAGTAGGAGGGAAACAGAAGTGATGGAAATTTCAATTCTCGTACCTCAGTCCAGTCTCCTTCGATTTTCGCTTTTTTCATGACTTTTCTGATCTCTGCTGGTTAGAGCATGCTGCTATTTTTCCTTCTTCCCTTATTTCTCTGGTTCTACGGACCTCCCCGTCAGATATACGTCACTACAACATGTATTGGCGACAAGATTACTTCAGACATTTTAACCGTTCTCACGTGTTTCCTACTTAATCTATTTAATAGTGAAAAAGCAAATCAGACAATGTTGTATCGCAGTTTAAGATACTTATAGATTCTTTGGCGGACGAAATACCCTCTGAGGCATGTTTCTTTCGTGTCACGCTGTGTTTTGGTCACAGCTAAGTTATCACATTTTGTTTTTCTTCCAGGGCGTGATATTTATGTTTCCTGGAAGTCGACGCAATATGATGAGCACGCCGATCGACTTATCATCCCTCTGAAAATATCTTCATCATACACGTGTGTTAAATTTTATTATCGCATGTGGGGTGTGCAGATTGGAAGGCTCAACGTCTATTTCAGAGACCTTCACGAACAAGACAGGATGTTGTGGAGGCTTTTTGGAGACCAGAATAGCACTTGGAAGGAGGCTCGTATCCCCGTTGAAATTACTGATCTGCATTATGAGGTAAATCTGTTTCTTCAAGATACATTGTATGGGTACGTGAATGTTGTGTTCTCAATTTTATCCATAGTTAAATTTTGTTTCGTTTTTTAAGTGTGGTATGATAATAAGTTTGAATAAAGTTAAAATAAAAATGTGGCCAACATCTTTAACTATAACATAACACCTACAAGTGTGAATTTTTACGTATTTGCTCATAAGACTTGGATCCTTGGGTTTCATTGATAGGAAATCTGAGAGAAGCCAAGTATATTACCTTGTGAAGTGGCCAGTTCTTTTCTTCCTATTTTTTCCAGCTACAGGCCATATTTGAGACGCTGAAAAAAAAGGTTTAACCGCTTAAACACGCTCTTTGCTAAGATTATCCAGATGAAGAGAACAAAAACCGGTATGATATAAATTGCCGAAACCCTTGTGCACACAAGTTCAATGAGTGTCTTATGTGATTATTATTTTTAGGTATTTTTTGAAGCAAGGAAAGGTTATGGTTACTATGGCGATATTGCTATTGACCAGATTGCCTTCACTCAGGAAAGGTGCACTCTGGTTCCTTCACACGCCTCACCGGACAGCCCCGGAGTGGGTAAGGCCTGTACTCTTTGTGTTACTCAAAGAGGTCGTGAGGGTTGATCAGTAGCCAAGAAGGGAAGAATTGTTAACAATTGTCATATTACACAGAAAGCAGTGCAGCGGTTTCAAGAGAATTTGGTAAAAGGGTGGCGATAACAACAACTTTGCACGTGCAGCACACTTTTTTGTACATTTCTTTTCCGTCACTGCACAAGTATGACGCAAATTGCCTAATTTTCACAATAATCGAGAACGTAGGGAAACGACGACACATCTCTCTCTCTCTTCTTGAACCTGGAAATTTTTTAGGGATTCAACTCCGGGAGAGTTCGCCTACATTTGAAAAAGTAAGCGAGTTGAGATAACCGCCATAAACGGTTTCAGTGAACGCGAATTCACATTTTAAGTTGTTGGTCAGGTGTTGTAACATGTTTGAACGAGCAGTATTACATGCATGTGGCGAATGGTCTGTGTCGAATGACTGTAAAGCGATATTGTCTTATCAATTTTTTATCATCGTTACTTTCCAACAGCAATAACTTCTTCCATTATACAAAGGAACAGTGTTCATCATCAGCATCTGAGTAGGATGCTGATTGAAGAAGGCTACGACACGTCATTGTGGATCCCATGTTATGTCGCCCTCCGTCATGGCTGGAATGTTTCCTCATTTCATGAACTCTGTGACAACAAGGCCCCCACCCTTACCATTGTCAGAAAAGACAATTACATCTTTGGTGGATTTACAGAGAATAGCTGGGCAGGTAACTATGGCCGTCGGCTTCACTTAAACCGTTTTCTTTACATTAAACAGGTCCCTATAGTGCGGCTGTTGGCTGCGAATACAGCCGTCTTTCCTCACTCATCGCTTCTAGAGAACTTTCGCTGGAGAGACGTCTGTGATTCGGCCCCAAAACCTCCATGATGACGACTTAGATTTGCCCTGAATCTGGTCAACGAGCGCTGATCAGCTATTGTTGTCGAATGACAGACAAAAGACGGAAGGTCACAAAGATCTAACGCCACGAATCTACTAAAAACAGTCATTACTCTTCGGGTAATTTCTTCTTTACAAGACGCACTTGAGTTTTGCTGCCGCTCGTTCACAGAAGAACTTAAAACTTAACGATAATGAAGCCCCCATGACTAGCAGATTAATGATCTAAGTCATCGATTCACGTCATCAGCACGTAATTTTGTGGGCCGAATAGTAGACGTTTCTCCTGCGGAACGTCTTTAGCAACGAGGAGACAGGCCAAAAAAAATAATAAAAATAATGATGTTCTTTTTTTTTTCCAGATACTTCCAAGGGATCCTATGAATTGTCTTTCGAACGACAAAACGTAGGCGATTATGCAACAGAACACTGGTCATCTCTTGTAAGTACTCTCACTGCGGCAATGTGGATAAAGAACTCTGCCGCTACTAAGGTAACACTCTTTACATTTGGTTCGACAACTGATGCCATGCTGCAGTTTAACGTGGAGGATGCAACTAATTCTAGTTATGGAATTTCAGCTGCAGTTTCATATTGGCAGGCAGATGGTCCAAAGTGGGAGTATGTGAATTTTATCATAAAAATAACCCTCCTTTTTGTAGTTCTTGATCGAAACAGTTTCTCCAGGAATAATCCTATTCGAGTTTAAATACACGATGAAACGAACATTATCTCGTAGTTAGTTTTGCTTGAGTCCTTCAATAAGTCCTTTGTACGGTGTCGGTACCTGGTGACTACAATTCAGTGGCGTTTGGTCTAAGTTAGTAAACCAGCTTTCTAACGTTACTGACGCAAAATATAATGAATCTGTCCTCATAAGTCAGTGTCAGTTAGTCAGGAAATTCCTTTCCTTTCTTTTTGTGTTTGGAACTGGTACCTCTTAGTGGCGACGATTAATTTGATTCAAACTCACAAAAGAGAATTCTAGTACCCAGTGGGAACGAACGTTACGCCTTCCTTCCTTCCTTCCTTCCTTCTTAGGTGTCAGGTTTTGGTCTAGTTTAAGAATGGCTATTTTCACTGACTTCTTTTCACAGCTATAAATTTCATATGGATCAGAATCCCTTAGATGGCTCTTGGCATCACCTCGCAATTGTGTGGGAGTTATTAGACAGAAAGTGCCAAATGTACTTAGATGGCATATTTGTTACAGAGTTTACCAAAACTGATTGGTCTAATCAAAGTATTTCAGGAGATCTTTTTATTGGACAAAACCTTCATCAAAGGAAGGGCTGGAGCACAACAGACTCGTTTAAGGGACGAATGACCTCCTTTAACATGTGGAATTACAAGTTTTCGAATGTAGAAATTGCCTCGTTGGTTCAGAACTGTAGATCAAGGCCGGGAAATATATTTCAGTGGCACAAGATTATAGCCAGAGAAAATTTACGCGGCGAAGTCAAACTACTACAGCCATCATCATGTATGTACGACTCCTTTGGAATATAGCTGCTAGTTCTGTTGTAATGTGGAATGTAATGTCGCGCATTAGAAAGTGAATGTAAACAAACATTGAAAAACACGCGCTAAGGGTATGACATCATTAGTAATGTCATTATCGCCGATCAGCATTTCGCGTCGACTTTTTCAATGCAGATTATTCCAATTCCAGAGACGTAGTTGCAAACTCTCTTTCCTTTTCCCGCCCTGCCGCCAGAGCGGCCCGGAGAGCTTGCTCGCAGGCTAGGAAAACACAGGAAATGGCATTTCCGAGACCCTAGGGCTTAGTCTCGATACATGCCCAGAGACTCCCCTAGTTTGTAGCACCTTCGGTAATCTAACTTTTCTTCTTAAGCGTACAACTTCACTCTGCACTTCTGGTGACCCTTCTTCCCGGGAAAGGGTATAGACAATATTGACGTCAAAATATTTTCACTCGAAAGCTTAAAATACCCGCCTTTTTTTCTAAAAAGGTACCTTTTTTTAACTTTTCACCCGATCGACTAGCATTAACAAAAAAAGGTAACAATTTTGCATGTTGTTCTATGAAAAATAAATGGTGATAGTTAATTTTTCTGCTCTTTTCAAGTAGAAGAGTTGATCTTTTTCTAGAAAAATAGAATTGCCGGAACCTTTCACTGATTGGTATAAACCGAGCCTTATAATCTATAAGAACTCTCCAGGTCCCAGGACCTGTCATTTCTTAAGAAAGACCGTGGCAAAAGTGTTACTGAACTCTCTTTACTCCTAGGTCAAGTACGTTCAAGCTATGATGCTTATTTCACGCGAGGAAACCCTGATGATCACATCCAAGACAACTTAACAGAAAGCCTCTCAGAATTCACGGTGTCGTTGTGGATGAAGAGCACAAGTAAAAGCGGCAAGCCCATATTGTTCAGCCTTGGAAACGAAACAGTCTTCATGAACTTCAAACTAGTTAACAATGGACAATATCCGAAACTCTGTTTCAAGCTTTATAGTGATTCCATTTGCGAGTAAGAATACGTTCTTTTAAGCTCAAAGGCATTGATAATTTATGAAGAAATTTTATTTAGAGTGGGGGCAGAGTGATCGAATCATTTAAAAGGCATTTTTTTTAAAGGTATAGAAACTGTCGCAACTGGCCTGCGCTTTGCCTTGCTTATTGGCTTGTTTGTTTCGTTGTTTGTTTGCCTATTTTTCTGTTTGTACCGTCCTACAGCATGTCGTTGTTTGGATATTTTTTGAACATTCCCTGAAAGAACGAATAACTCAATCTGTGAGAGGAAACAACCAGTGATCAACCTCTATATGTATATTTTTACATTTAATGGCTACAACCTTTGCAAATTGTTTTACATTTTCGAGTTCTAACATGCACGCTTTTCCTAAATTCTTTAGGACACTAAGCGCCTCTTTAAGTGTAATGGATGGTTACTGGCATCAATTTACTGTCAGGTGGGAAAGTAGCGAGGGAGACTGGGCGATTTACAAGGACGCCATCTTGCAGGGAGAAGGAAAAGAGCCACTTTTTTCGAATGGAACTATCCCGCCTGGAACCTTACACATAGGAAGTCGACCATATTCGTCGGACGTAACGTTTGCCTTTATTGGACGAATCACGTCGTTAAATGTGTGGAATTATTATCTTTCCGATGCGGAGGTAGCTTCTATTGATCGAAACTGTGGACAAGGCCTAGGAAATTTGTTTCAGTGGATTAATTTGAAGGAGAAAGTTGATGGCCAGGTTAAAGTCTTGGAGCCGTCTTCATGTAAGTATGAGGTCACGTGACCACCTGAAAACTATACCAGGAATACTGTCACTTAAAAAAGTAATTCAAAATATACTGAATTATGTTCAAGTTGTTCATGTTCCACTTTTGCTTGTTTGAATAATGGGCTGAAGTGTGAATTTTTAGTCTCGGATTTCAAGTTCACGGGGAGCAAGGAAAACTCGCCTTTAAATAATTTGCGACTACACCTTCACCACCAAGCCTGGAACTGGGTAATTTGAAGTTTATATTTGGCAGAAGAAAAGAAAAATGTACCAATCTAAAGACATAAAATTTGTATTAACCTTTTTGTTGTTACTGTTCCGTTCTCCCTGTTTTTGTCGTCGCGCTTGTTAAAAACTCTTTTTTTTCCTGACACTCGAGAAGTTTTAGGTACAAAACTTTAAACTTTGCTTTCGACGCAGAAGAACGACATGACATGATATGCAACCGTCCATGGGGAGAGAGCATTAGATGGTGTTTGATAGAAGGCACTCCATAATCTTTGGTTATCACTCGTTCAAATCGGTTGCTTTTAGCAACATTTTTTCTTTTTCATTGGCGGTGAAACGGCTGATGATTTTGATTTTGTTCTTGTTTTTTCTTTGCTTTGTTTATTTTTTTCAATGCCTAATGTTTTTTTTCTTTTTAATTGTGTTACTAAATAACTGTTGAAAAAATTTGCCTTCATTAGTTTAATATCTTTTGTTTTTTTAGGTTCCTCGAGAAGTTACAAAATGGATAGCAAGGCGTTCATCTTTTCTCTGAATAACACCTCGCAAGGCTCCCTTTTCAAGAAGAAAGTCGCGCAAGGTTCATCCTCTAATGCAATATTTATCTCTTCATCCACCGGTCCCACCTTTGGTGAAGCTCCGTTTGATTTTCAAATAGGCGTCGACGGTAACATGAAGGAAGGCACTAGTCACCATTCCACATCTTATAGAGACAGTAACAGTGCTTTAGGCTCGGACCTGACAACAATATTGGCTGGGGAGTCGAATTTCACTGTTAGTAACATAGAAGTCTTGTTCAAGGCACCTGGAGGTAGGCCCGTGAACACAGTACATATACTCCGTTGTGCATTTTAAGCGATGGTGTTTGGATCACACTTTGTCACTTTTTTTTGTACCCGGTGGGTACGGGAACAAATGAGGTTCATGCTTTATTCGGTTAATGCAGAGGATTATGGGAAGATGTAGATGAGAGCGTCGGGTTCTTTGTCTTCCCACGCTGCCTTGCGAGATTCGCAAATGCGATCCCAAGCCAGCCCTCGATCCTATGAAATTTTCACCTACATGCCTGGGCGCAAGGCAGCAGAGTTGTGTTTCTCGTTAATCTATTTGATAGGCCAAGAGAGGAGTCCCAGACAGAGGAGTCCCACAGGTCTTAATTTTTGGCCCTCTTCTCTTTGTACACCCGCCTGTGACCATTTAAATTACGAATAACAAGTACAAGAATAAAATAGACACCCGATCCGTTTAATTTGATGCTGTTTAATCTCAACATTTGTTTTGTATTTGGGCCTTGTTTTCCTTTGTAACAGAGTTTTTGGTAGACTACAACTGTTCTGTGGGACTCCTCTCGTTGCCGTTGCTATCACGGTGACTTGGCTCCCTTTGCTGATGCAACATGCGTGCGTTAATACGTTCTAATAAGGGTGCGCATAAAAGCGCGACCATCCTTTTTCTGTTATTTATCGCATTGCTTATTTATTATTCGCAGGATCTCTGTGTCAGCGGCCGTGTCCATTCAAACACTACTGTGATGAAGTTAGGGGCGGTTGTCGTTGTAGCGTGGAAAATCATGCTCCTCTACAATGTCAGCTCTGTAAGTCGATGAAATCCGCTGAAAATGGATGCATTTTTCTAGTTTAGTTCTGTGTCATTGATTGTTAAATTTTTTCGCCTACACACCTATTCGGTAACCTGAAATCCGGCTCTATTTTCGTTTGGCTCCGTAAATGAAACACTACGTAAGAGAGAATGTATGGCAGCTGCTAAAATTGCACCTTATCTCAGGCTACTGTCACGGAAACCATTTTGTGTACAAGAAGCTTAGTAAGGTTACCTGTTATCGTTTCGAAAACAAAACAATAGTCTGGGAAATAGTCTGTTCCTAGGCCAATTAATGTTTTTCCACAGACTACAAGGACTATCATTTGTTTAGATTCAGGGCTAGTCGCCATGGCAACTCAAGTTCTTTCTTACAGTTAACCTAGGAATAGAGCAAGCCTGCATTTGGAGAACTCGACACTGTTTTTTAAGCTGAATTCCTTGCAATTCACAATCGTACGTAAAACATTAATTTATGAACAACTAAGGTGAGTCAACGATAGTTGGTGTGTTGGTGTTTTCATTGCATTGAATTGTATTTAATCTTTACTTTAGACAAATTCTTCGAGGACTGTTCCCATCTCTGGCCATTGGAATCGGTTGACAACGTCGAAGATGTGATAACGAATACCTGGGGTCGAGCGATTGGCGGTGTACAAATTAAGAGTGGCCTTTTGACAGATGGAGTTAGCGGCGAAATTCAACTTCTAGATCGCCCAGGTGTTTCGTGTGCAACAGTTAACATTAACGCCTCTAAAACTTGCTCTGGTTTCACGGTGGCCTTGTGGCTCAAGTACTGGAACAGAGCAGATGGCCAAAAACAATTTCTTTTTAACTCTTTTGGTTCATTTATACTCTATCAGGAGAGCAATGACACCTTGATTATTCGCATACAACGCTCAGCGACGTATTGTCTCAAAGAAATTATCGTGCCTGCGAACATCTGGTCATATCTTGTAATTTCCTTCGACGCGACAGTTACTCCGCGTATTCTTACAATACACAAAAACGGAGAGAAACTGACGGATTTCCTTAGAGACGAGGGGTGTACCAGCCTGGTTGCACCACAGTTTGTATCATCGTCTGTTTCCTTGGGAGCTGGATTTGGTGTGTTCGCTAGGGCGACCTTTGCTGAAGTAGCCATATGGAACTTCGCGCTGTCTGATAAAAAAATCGCCGAATTATCCATGATTCACATGAGTAAGTTTGCAAATGCACATTCCCCTTTTTGTCTGAAAACTTCTCAGTCGCACTGCGCAGAAGTCATTGTCAGACTTATATTCAATATTTCGTTTTCTAAATAAATCACTGTTAAAGGAGCTTCGTTCTTCTGCGAACATACAGTATTCTGACGTTTACAGCATTCTCTTTGTTGCGTTTCCCATTTTGTTTGAAAACTTCTCACTCTCAGAAATGACCAAAGCCAGAGTTGAGCTTCAACATTTCATTTTCTAAATAACTGAGGATGTAACAGTTCCGTACAGATTACTGCTTAACAGGGTTCAAACTCCTCTGAACACACAATCTTCTGATGTTTAGAGCATTCTGATGCTGAATCTGATTCTGTTTATTTTGGGCTTGTCTTAAATGACGTCCTATCTGTGTATTCTTCATTCGGTCAAACAAGCACGCGCTGAGAGTATTTTCCTTTATTTACAACCACAACATACTGTTTCTGTGTGGTGTAAAGTATTCTCTATTTTTGCTTCAGATATGTTCCCGTTCAAGCTTCATTGTAAGGTGCGGGTAGAGCAATATGGCTGGCATGATGATCTTCTCATTCCAGGAACGTCAAGACACAATGTGCTTGCAAACGATATTATCAGCAATGTAAGTGGACTTAAGATACGAACTGAAAGATTTTTCCATAATGCTGTACTTCTCTTTGAATGTCTGGAAGAAGTGAGTACTTGAGTAGTTGTCGGGTGGGTATAAGCATCGTGCCCCCTTGCCCCTCAGAACCCTGTTGATTAAGATTAGGTGCGATTTTAATGGGCGAAATCGCGGATAAATCCGCCAAAGGCAGAGTGACGATGAAACTCAGCGAGAGCACAAAAAAATCCTGGGGACACACGGAATGGGTGCAGAAAATTTGTATAGGTAATAGCATGATTTGTAGTGATATTTGGCATAAATACCACGAGTGATATTTCGAAATTGTTATACGTAATTTCAATTTGAGACAATTTTGAAATATCACGAGCGGTATTTTTGCCAAATAACAGGTACAAATCATGCTATTATTTGTTTATACCACTACCCGCAAAAGGTTTGTAATTTTCACATGTAGGTATTTCAAATTAAGCTGAAATACCACTGCTCTAAGCCAATCAGATTGCAGAAATTTCTCATGTAGTGGTATAATCACTGAAACTGCATGTTCACACTATGCCCGGACAGCTTAAAATTCGCGCCGGTACGAAAACCGTACTGGATTGGACTACTGTTCACACATAAGAACGGTGATTTTAACGCGATTTCTGTAGCGAAGCTGCACCGCGTCGATCTCTAAAGTGGACAGTTATATATCGCGGGATAGGTGTTCATAGCATACCGACAAGAAAATTTATCCGGCATGATGTGAACATAGCCTTATGCATAAGCTGCTTGATGCGAAGCGCGCGCGAGCGGAGCCCCTTGCTAAGAAAATTTGTTGATCTATCCATCCGTCAAAATTTGGTTATGACGAGAGCGTACGACCGAACGCTGACTGTACAGACTTTTGGGGGAGGGGATGGGAGTCAAGAGTCAACTCGTCTTGGGAGGAGTGTGTTATAGCTGAGGTGAAATTTTGGAATTTGGAACTTGTTTTTAAAAAGCAAGTATAATTTTTAAGAGAGGAATATACTACTAACCTTTTTTTATTACAGAAACAGTGGGGCCGAGCATACCTTTTATCATGCGTGTCTATCTATGTGAAAATCAGGGGCGTAGCTAGCCCATAGACCTGTAGGCCCGGGCCTACAATTTTCTGTTTGATCACTCTACAGCTTGTAATAAATTATGCGTTGTTGGGGTGAGCAAAAAGCTTAAGAGGTCAAAGTGTTGGTGAGGTCAGTGCGTGTACTAGTCATGCGTTCAATTTTGGGGGGAAGGGGAAATGAAATTCAGCCAGGGCTAAACTAGTCGAAAAGCTGGCTATGCCCCTAAAAATAATTTACATTTTTAGATCGAGGCATCATAGAGGATTTTTTTTCTCGTATTATGATAGGTGACAAGTTTTTATACACCTTATCCTGGCGTGAATGTCTCTGTTGGTACGCCTACCTTTAGGTAAGTAAACGTGATGTTCATTCAACCTTCCTTTTCGTCGCAAATCTTCTGTTTATGAACAGCAGCTAATAGCTTTTGTTGATGTTTATTGCCCTTTTTAATTTTCCCTAATAAATTATAACATTTTGGCGGATTTTTGTTGCTCTCTTTTTTCTCTTTTAAATGGTGTGACGAGTTATGATAGTCCTTTTCATCAAATTTCATTCAGTGAAAAAACAAATTACAGCAACCTATAGGCGAATCCTTGGTGACGTCAATGTTCATTTTTGCTTATTAGCATATAGGTTAACCCATAGACGACGACGTCGCCGTATGTACAATTTAGGTTCAAAAGTTGAAAGAACTGGTTAATTTGTTAGTACAATTGTCAGCTCTTTGCAGTCAATAACAAAGGAAATATAGGCAATCAAAAGCTGCGAAATTGCTGGGTGGCAAAAACGTTAATGAGCTCATACGTTCTTTGTAAAGTTTGGGGGTTTTTCTAAGAGAATTTCTTCGAAACTACTCGGTATATCGGGCTCAAATTTTCAGAGATAACTGAAATTGTTAAGCCCTTTCAATATTCAGAGATTGTTTTATGAGCTTCATCAGATAATAGCATGCATATGTTAATGAGCAAAAAATGTAAACAAGTATTCGCCTATAGCTTTATAAATCTCTCTCTTCTCTACGTTTTTGCTGTATTTTTCATAATCATATGTTGTTGACCTTTCTTTTCTTTCTTTCTTAGTTTTGGAAGTGTGATAGCAGGCTTCGACATTGAATACAATGTAAATAACTTCAGCCTTATCGAAGATCTGAATAACACTGTTTCTAGAACAGGATATCTTTATAACATGCCTCTTCAGTTAATTGAACTGACAGCACAATTTGGTAAGGAACTCAGATATGAACTTAAACCATTGTCTGACAGGCCTGACACGAATAACCCTGGGGCCGGAGACTTCTCCCGCCTAGTATAAGCTTGACCCCCACTACCCCCCCCCCCTCCCCACCCCACAATAATTTCATAACAAAAAAAAGAAAATGTAACAAAATGAATTTCCTAGCTGTTCAGTTCCTGGCTCATTAATTACATACACCGGGCAACTTTATTGAAATTTGCTACGGTGACTCAACACGGTGACAAGGGATGAAACAGGACTTACGTCCCAATTGATATCAACCTGTCGATTTTTCACCCAGCCCATGAAAGGTTGTACCACACCACCGGGATCTACGCCCCCTACTCGTTACAAACAGCGGGGAGGGTTCTCTAACGTCCCACAAGAATCAGGCTAGTGAAAGAACTATGAGACGGCGCCTATGATTTTTAGTCCTTATCCAAGAAGACCAAAGAATGTCTAACCATTTGAAGATGTCGCAACAAAGACAGCACTTTCTTCTCAGTTATTTTAAGACCCTTAGTGTTAATCCGGCCGGGGTTTGTACACGCGTCCTCCTGCACGGCAGACCGGCACTTATCCAACTGAGCTAACCGGGCGGATAAACTTCAAAACGGTCAAGTATTATTTTTTCTAAAGTGATAGGGACCTTACGTTGCCCCGTTTGCCTTTACTCTTGCCGATAAGCGAACATGAAAAACGCGAAAGGGTAATGCCTGTTCTCCAGGCTAGTAGTACCGTGACTCACATCATCGGTTCTATTTTATTTCAGTACCAGCTGAGCCTCCGCAAAATCTTAGCGTTACCCGCGTGACTGATACGGGTATTGACATCGCATGGCAAGATCCCAGGCTTTCTCCTACCCAGTGGGAGGTATTCCAGGGCTTCAAGGTACTTATCAAACCTGCGGGAGGTGCGGAGGTCAATATCATCACTATCAATGCTCTTCAGAATTTCGCCAGCATAACAGAATTAAAATCACTGGGAACATACGACATATCTGTCGCTGCTTACGCTATTGCTGGAGTAGGGAAGGAGAGTGAAACCATTACAGTCACCACTACCCTAGGTAAGGAATAGTCCAAAGTGTCAATCGCCTCTTCGCCCCTCCCCTCAACCCCCTTGGGTAGTGGGGTGAAGACACGGTTTTAGTTGTTTTTTTCTGGCATATTTGCAGTACCACGTTTTGTTGAGATCTAGAAATTTGCTACCAAGGTAACTTGACGTCACACTTCTCTCTATAACGAGGTCGTGTAAACGGAGTGTTAGTAAAGCGGGATTCCATCTTCATGTGCAAGGAACGTTTCTCTTACATCATGAACACGTTCTGCAACTCCATGGAAAACTTGATTTTACTATTTATCTGTAACGAGACACTTAGATTAATAAACAACCTTCCTTTTTCGCTGGTCACACGAAGGGTCTGCATAGAGTTTGACAACGCAAGGGAGCCTGAGGAGAGCAGATATTTTTTGGAAAGACTGAATGTTTTGTAGTTTATAGAGCCCTATAAAAGGGAAATAACCTTTTGGAGTTGATGAACAGCCGATCAACGATATCAGCTGAGTATCACATGTTTGTCTCTCACAAAACGGTCTGTAAAGTGAATTCCTCTTTAGGGTGGACATCAGCGGTTAACCCTTTAAACCCTAAGATCAAAATTTGAATTCTCATTTGTTGCCCCTATTCATTTCCCACAGAAGTAGTGGGGAGAAGTTGATAAAATATCAAGAAAATTCATTTTGTGTGATCACGTCCGTAATTCTCATAAAAACTCTGTTTTACAAAGCATTGACATTACAAGGAGAAATTTGATGCTGATCACTCTCAGGGCTTAAAGGGTTAACAAGTCTCTGCTGAGCATCAACTGTTTGTCTGTTATCAAACTCTTTACAAAGTGAACAGGTTGACCAGCCTCGTCCTCAAGCCAATTCGCGCTATCCTAGTGAGCGGAAGAGGCTTGGAACCAAACGCGATAGTCGTTGGTGACGTCGTACCCGAATTCGCCGAGGATGACTGAGAACGAGGCTGAAGGTTGACCGGCCTCAGGTTACGTTTACTTGTCGTTCTGTTACTCTGTTTCCAACTAGTCATGAACTCTCTCTTTTTTTAGATGCCCCACCTACAAACGTTTCTGTAGTAAATGTAACAACTTCTTGCGTGAGAATCAAGTGGGACCCTTTTCCAGTGGAGCAGTTAGGTGGAGCGATACGAGGTTACCAAGTGTCATATACAGTTGTTGGAAAATCCAATGCAACGCATATGACTTGCAACCTCACCAGTGAAGTCGAGATCTGTAGTCTTCCCTCCTATACCACGTACAAGTACTCCGTAAGACGATATTCACGAAATAAATTGGGAAATTCAAGCGAAGTTCAATACTTTACAACCCTGGAACAAGGTAAAATTCATTTCGCGGGATTTCCACTGAAGTGGTAGAAAACAAGAATAGCCGAAATTTTTGCTCCACATTTCTTAAAGAAAGATGCTCCTTTTAATTCATGGTTGATGATTGTTAATATTAGCAGATAGAATAGATACTTATTTCTGCGAGTAGTAAATGCTTTGCCTTTTAAAATATGAAGCTTTGGAGAGGGGGCTGGAGAAAGATTAACGGAAAATTGATGGAAACACTGAGAAGCAGCGACCAGTCTGACTGGCAACTGTCATAACGCCACTTTCTATTTTTCCATCTTTTTCTTTAAGGTCTGATCAGGCCTGCATGTATTCGCATTCACAGGTTGATCGACAAATAGTGATATGAACACCGACCTTTGGAAATCTCTTATAACCAAGATTAATTGGGATCGATTTTCTCCTACGTCTTTTCAAAAGAGTTTATGCTCTAAGTATACCTTACAGTAAGGGTAGCTATTTCTAGGCCTTGTCTCCCGAACCTCTTTAATCACTTTTCTCTTTGCTTTGTCCATAGCACCCAGCTTCCCGCCAACCAACGTTAACTGCCATAATGCAAGCTCAACAAGTTTGGTAATACTTTGGGAAACACCCTCCACGCAAGGAATGAATAACAGTTTCATACGCGGTTATAAGGTGCGTGTAAGGCCTCGTGAAAACAACTCAGAAGTGTGGAGAGATAGTCTTGTGTGTAACAGCTCACTCAACACTACTAAGGAAGGACTGAGAATTTTCACCGAGTACGAGATTCAAGTGGCTGCGCTGAATGGGGCAGGAAGGAGCAACTTTAGTGAAAGGATCTCTTGCTTTACTGATGCGGAGGGTGAGTATAGATAAATGCACTTTTATTTGAGTGTCAATGTATTTCGCACTAAATTACTAATTAGGGACGCTATATTAACCCGTTTTAAAAGTCCCAATAGTGACCAACATCAATTTTCTGCCAATGATATCCGTACATTGTCAAGAGACTAGGTTATGAGAATTAATAAAATGATCACGTAAGAGAAAATGCTTTGATATTTTGTCAAATTCTCTCAACTCATTCTTTAAGGAAATATATAAAGATCAGTTTGGAGAATTTGTATGTGGATATTGGGGCTTAAAGGGTTAACGTCTCCTACTGAAGACGGGACCACCATTTTATGCGATCATCCGAGCCAAGTGGTTGATAGAATCTTAGTTGTTGTGGTTTTTTTTTTTTATGATGATCTTATCCGTGACTTCTCTTGAGCTCCTTACGTGGGCAAGTTCTAATATTTTCGTTTCGCCTTGTTTCAAATTATCGTTCTTCGAACTACCGTAAAATTCCGAAAATAAGCCCCTCCAAATATAAGCCCCCAAACCGGTAACGCAAAAACCCTCCGTTAAATCGCCCCTCCATGCAAATATAAGCCCTCCGGGGGCTTGTACTTGACAATTGCCCTCAAATACAAAGTAAAACAAAGCAAAACTAGGTAAATTTCCTTCCAACTATAAGGCTAGCCCAATCGATTTTGAAACGCAAATTTCCCTCCATAGATAAGCCCCTCCGAATATAAGCCCCTCCAAAAATACGCCCCTCAAAAAGGGCCTTTAACAAACATAAGCCCGGGGGCTTACTTTCGGAATTTTACGGTATCTTCAAAGATTTCATCCTTTTCTGTTATTTCTCCGTTTCAGTATTGCTGTCATCTTTATTTATTTGCTTCTTAAAATAGTACAAAAAAGGCCTTTTTATTTTTTCCCGTCATTCGATATACTATCTTTTTAAAATACTAATTATTAAAAGGAAACAATCAAGAAACAATTCCAGCTGCAAATAGCGACATAAAATCCAAAACGAGTGAAGTTAAACCATTAACCCTAAACACTGCATTAGGATGTGTCTAAAAGAAAGCTTCAAACGTGAATACGGAGGATTATATTTGTATTTGAACAGCAGATTATTGCTTTCAAGAAACCAGTATCTTACACATTGTTTTCGCTTATGTGGCCAGCATCTATCCAAATTTATTTTCACATTTACATAAGAAAAGAGTTCAACTCCCACATGGTTGGTTTGGTAACACGAACGTGGCCGCCGTTTCATTGTTTTAGAACAACAATATAATTTGAAGGAAGAAGAATTCTAAGACCAGAAAGCTCAGAAAAAATTCCAGCTCCGGGTGAGGATCGAACTCACGACCCTCCGAGTTCTAGTTCGGGTGCTCTAACCACTAAGCTACTGGAGCCCTATGGCGAGTAGGGTGGACATGACTGCCGTGACGTCATGTGAAAACCATCCGTATCACCTGATTTCATGATCGTCGGACTATGACTCTGGGAGGTTGCCTCGCCGCCATTTTTAGCTAGAACTTTATAGAGTGTTTTCACTCACGTGGCCAGCCTCTATGCACATTTATTGGAACAAAAGAAAGTGTTTGCATAAGAAAAGAGTTCAACTCCCACAGGATTGGTTTTGGACACCAACATGGCCGCCATTTCATTGTTTTGGGACACCAATATGGCCGTCGTGACGTCAGGTGAAAACACTCTACTGAACGGGATGGTTTGTTTACTTTTTAGTTTGTTGTTTATTGTTTACTCTTTTTAGTCCCTCAAAGTGGCCCCTTAAATGTCACCGTTTACAACTTGAGCTCGACAAGCATACACATCCAGTGGAGCCCAGTGCCCGAACCGCTGCGCCTGGGGAATATTATCCACTATGTATTCAATATAACAGAAGTGCTTACAGGGTACACAAGAGTGCTGATATTCGATGGAGATGTGCTGAATGCTACGGTGGGCAATTTGTCAAAATACACTGAACACGCGGTCATGGGGGCAGCAGTCAACAGCAAGGGCCAATCAAACTTCACCTCTGCCACCATGATTCGCACGAATGAAGATGGTAAGTATATAAGGCTGAACACCTGCCGTAAATCCTCTATTAAGCCCCCCCTCTCAAATAAGCCCCCTTCCTCTAATAGGCCCCCCCTTTTCAGGGGAAGAATATTAATAAGCCCCTCCCCTCCCTTAATTATTCTTCACTGGTAAATGATAGACTATAAATCAATCACGACTTTTTAACCTCGTGTGGACTGATCCGGGATGGTTTATTTATCAACTGAAAGTTCTGATTTGTTTTGGCTGCATGACCTCCAACCTTCTTGTACGTGGGCTTATCCACTTTGTATTCTAGTTCTTTGTGGAGAACTGATACCATCGTCTTTTCTAAATTAAATTAGCCCTCCCTCTTAAATAAGCCCCCCGTTTCTATTAAAGCCCCCCCCCCGCCCCAAATGGGCGTGAAATAATTAAGCCCCCCCCCCCCCACCCCGGGGCTTAATAGAGGATTTACGGTAAGTCTTCTACTGTAAATTGCTTTTTTGACCCTCAAAGCCTCAAGGGTCACCAACATCAACTTTTTCCCAACAATATCACTGCGCAATTATGAGAGAAGTGATCACCAAAACAAAATGCTTTGATCGTTTATTCACAATTTTACCAATTCTGTAAGGAAATGTATGGAGATCAGTCTCCAGAAATTGTTTGGGGATAATGTGTACAGTATCCAAAACAGGAACTACATTACCACGTCTCTATCATATTTCTTCCTTTCCCTTTCTTAACAGGGCTGTTTAACTAAATGAAATAAGCACCCCGCCAAACTTGGTTCCTACAAGGTACCTTAGACCTGTGAAACCCAATGGCGTCTTACACTGTTCACTTACGACAAAGCAGAACGAGTGCTTTAGATGGCGACATAAAAGCACTGCGATTTATTGGGCTATAGGTTTAACCCTCTGTGTCAATCGCAATGCCATGTAGTTAAAGCCTGGGGCAGTGTGTATTGTACCTTTGCATTGTTTCCTTCGGCCACTTATCGTGGTTTTTTTGCGTTCTTAGCTTATTCGTACCATATATTTTACAAAAGTCTTTGCATAATTGGAATAAATTTGAACTCACACAGCCCCAGATATTGCTCCTGCAAACCTGACCGCGTACAACACAAGCTCCACATCGATCATGGTTGAATTTCAGGCCTCTTCCCCGGCAAAACTAAATGGCATTATCCGAAAACTCTGCTTTACCTACTCAAAAGCTGCCGATGCAAATACAGCTGTTCGGACGTGCGCCGCTCACCGGCAGCACAGCAGACGACGAAGATCAGCGCCAGCAAACAGCAGCGTTTTCAAGTCCGAATTGACCGGTTTGGATGAATACACCATGTTTTCTATACAGGTGTCGTTTTACACAGTGGATTTAGGTCCTTATAGTGAAGTGGTCAACGTCTCTACGGATGAAGGAGGTAGGGTTTTACTTATGATTGCTGTTGAAATAAATAAATAAATATATAAATACGTTCAGTGTGGGTATAGAAGGAAAACGGGACCCGGATCTAATATCCAAAGCTTGCCTAAGCTAAGATGTTTCCCAAGGTTAATAATAGGCTGATTTAGCAACAGAACGGAAACGTCAATTGACGGCAGGAATGAGCGCGGAAATCACTGAACTCGACTTCCGGTGCCCAATTTGCCGCTCTGCCATTGGTCAAGCCAGTTGTTTGATTTGCGCGCGCCGTCGTCAATAGTACTTACGAGATATCTTAGGACGGTTGTCCTTAATACAAGTTTCTGGGATAGTGGCAGAGCTATAAATTGTCCTTTTATATGGGCGAATCCTCGAGCGGTCAAGGTGAATTGAATCCTGTGTTCTGATTGGCTACTTGCCCATCTTGCCCGCCTGAGATTTTCCGAGAAGGTCCCGCAGGAAGAAGTTTTCTTTTTGTCTGTGTAATAATATCCTTTATTCACCAAGCTTGTTCGTTGAAGGTGGCTGGAAATTCTCCCCGCTTTTTTTTGCCTTTTTATTGACCTCAACTTCGTCTCAGGCAATATCAAACCATCTTGACTTCACGCGTAGTCAATAACGCATATTTGTTGTATACAGGGTCAGCATTTCCAACTTGTTTGCCTCACGGGTGAGCTCACGATACACTTTACTGAGCAGCTGTTAATTTGTTTGTTTGTTTGTTTGTTTGTTTTTTTTTTCGCCCACTTTCACATATATTTTTAGTGCCCAGGGCTCCTCCGTTTCAAGTGACCGCGTTCAACAGCAGCGCCACAAGCATCCTGGTGACGTGGCAAAGCATATCCCAGTCTACGATACCTGGTATCTTACTCGGATATGTCGTGCGCTACATAAAAGCGAATGATCCAGACGTCCTGAACTTCACAGAAATAAAACACGACTTGAATACGTATAGAAATATCACAAATCTAGAGCCGTATACCTTGTATAATATATCCGTGGCGGGATATACACGCACTGGGGCAGGAAATTTTAGTGAAACACAGAGTTGGACAGATGAGGGAGGTAAGAGTCAATCCATTTCATTGACACTTGATTACCAGCTGCCAGGACTTGGTCAATATTTCTCAAACTCATTAATGATTCATAAAGAAAACACAAAAGAAAATAATGTTTAATGACTGTTTGGAAATCAGATGAGAAACTGCTCATTTTTTGCATCCTTAATTTCTCCTTCTAAAATCATTTTGTTTGAGAAGTAATATCAAGCATTTGACACAGTGTTTCATCACCAGATGAAACACCTCGAAGTTCGTCAAATATACTCCGCTGCGCGTCGTATTTTCAACTCTCTTCTCAGTGTTTCATCTGGCGATGAGACACTGCGTCTCATGCTTGATATATTTCGTACTTTATATTTGACTTGGTCATTTAGCATTCTAACATTACTGTACATTCAACAGTTGCCTTGTAGTAACCTTTATAAAGACACTCTTTGATGACAATCTTAATTCGTGCAACTTACGAGCAAACATTTTTAGTCACACATAGCCATCTTTAACTTAATAAAACAACAGAGTGATAGGCAAGCAGACTAAAGGCCTGACTAACGCAGAGAAATTATGAAATTTCTGGTTTCTCCCAAACCGCACAACCAAACGTTTTGTGGAAATGACTCTCTGTCACTTTGACTTGATGACCCTCTTTTTAACTTTTCAAATGAACTGTTTGTCCTACTGCCCAAATGGCTGTCTGTTCCAACTTCGCTATCACTGTCGATCTGAATTAATAGGGAGCTTTGCCTTAACCAACAACGACGGCAATGGCTACGAAAACGACACTTAAAGAGCGAAGTCGCGCTGCTTGAAACTTTATCTCGCTTATTCCATCTCGTTCAATTTGTCATATGCTAACAATATTTCTGGAGACTGCATCGAAGTTCAGGAAAAAAAAATTAAGTAGTTGTGTTGTGTTCACGTCTTCAAAAAAACGTGAAATTAGGAAGTTTCACGTCGTAGTCTTGCTGCAACAGCCAAGAAATGTACAAAAAAGGTCGTCGTTTTGCTCATCTAAACCTATTCCTTTTTAGCCGTTTTCGTTGCCGTCGCCGTCGTCGTTGCTTAAGCTCCCCAATGACTCCATCTCAAAGACTAAATGACTGTCTGTCTTATTGACCTACTGGCTGTTCGTGGCCACTAACAAAAGATTGTCAGGACTTACTAAATGATGTCTGTACCAGATAGTGTGATAGATAAGACACAGACCCAATGACCCAATGTTACGAGGTACAAGTTTTACCCACTATACTACTCGGCCCGGTTGTTCAAAAGTTGGATAGCGCTATCCACCGGAGAAATCACTATCCAGCCGATAAGTATTACGTAAACCAATTGCGTTATCCACTGGATAGTCATTTATCCAGTGGATAGAGCTATCCACCTTTCGAACAACTGGGGCCTGATACTTATGTTTGTTTCACAATAGTCCCCGACGGACCTCCGATCAACGTGACCGGGACTTCCTTCAGCACCACGAGCATAAACCTCGATTGGCTTCCAGTATCGGAAGAACTTCGGAATGGTATCATTCGGAAATACGAGGCTTTTATCTACGGTGCCTATGGCTACAACGAGCAAATGACCGTTCAAGCTCCTACTCGCACAGCGGTCTTTGAGGGGCTTGTAATTTTTTCTAACTACTCTCTTAAAGTGCGCGCCTTTACCAGAAAAGGACCTGGCCCTTGGAGCTCATTGATAAATACAACCACAAGTGCTGGAGGTATGTTTCTTGTGACTTCATGTTTAAATTTCTGTCGGCCCGCAGTCCTATATACCTTGGCCCAGTTATTCGAAGGCAAATTCAGGATTCTTGTTTCTCTTGTTTAGAAACGCTTTTTTTTCGGCCCAAGTAAGGGAATCTGGAATCCTGGACTTTGGATTCCGGATTCCACTAACGATTGGAATCCAGTTCCACTGATAAAGAACACTGAATCTATTGCCTGGGCATCTCGACGTGTGCAAACATCAAACTGTAGGCAAAGAGAATTTCCACAAATTTGCTTGGAAAGTTTTCAGATTCAAGTTTAAATTTCGTGATTTTCCTCGGGTTATCTTCACTCTGCCTAGAACCGCTCGGCTCTTGTTTTCTCGCTCAGTTTGTGCAGAGCGAGATTGCATTCTTTTTAAATTGCCCGTGTCCATGCTTGATGCATTTGCTATTTCAAGAATGAAGGACGTAAAAAATGAAGAGGATTTAACATACCGTAAATCCTCTATTAAGCCCCCCAGAGGGCTTATTTACTTCAAGCCCATTTGAGGGGGGTTAATAGAGACGGGAGGCGTATTTAATTTAGAAAAGACGGTGGTGTCAGTTCTCCATAAAGAACTAGAATACAAAGTGGAGGAGCTCAAGAACAAGAAGGTTGGAGGTCATGCAGCCGATTACCAGAATCAAATTCGAACTTCCAGTTGGTAAATAAACCATCCCGGATCATTCCACACGAAGTTTTACAGCCTGATTGATTAATACAGTCTCTCATTTATTAGTGAAGAATAATTAGGGGAAGGGAGGGGGGCCTTATAAAAGGGGGGCTTATAAACTTTCTTCCCCTGAAAAGGGCGGGGACTTATTAGGGGGAGCGGGCTTATTTGAGAGGGGGGCTTAATGGAGAATTTACGGTAAGTTCTAACAGGCAATTTTTCATAAGTACCGAGAAAGGACTTTCAAATCCCAGTTGGGTTCCCTGTAAGAATTTTGCGTTGGTAAGAGACTGGAAACCTGTGATGGTTAAGAACTCAGCGCAAAAAGCAGTCTGGAAGCTGAGCTGAGCTTCACGCCCTGACATTTCCCTGAGGATGTTTGAAGGAGTTAATGGGTAGGAAAGACAGCGAGGAGGACTTGAATTGGAGTACCCACCATATTAAAATTGTTTATTACTTTATCTGGTGAATTGACTGATCAATGTGGTGATTTATCTTTTATTTCTAGCCCCTGATAAAACTCCGGTGAACGCTACTGCTCAAGCCACAAGCGCCACGATGATTCACGTGACCTGGAGCCCAGTCTCTTTGCAAGATGAGCCATTTCTTCAAGGGTACCGCATTAAATATTACCGTGTCGATCAACCTGATCTTGTCAGCAACTTTGGAGCTGGTAAAAATGACATCCAAACACTTTTAACTGGTTTAAAGCCATTTACAACTTACGCTGTAAGAATTGCGGCATTTGCTACTGAAGACGGAAACTTCACCGATCCTTTGTATGTGAAAACATGGGAATGGGGTAAGAGAAAGAGATTCAAAATTTTATTATGCATGTCAGTGATTTACAACAATCACATAAGCTCAAGAGGAGTTACGATATGCCCCACAGGGACTGGAGGTGGATCGCTACAACGATTGTGCGTTCCTTGGTCGTTTCAAACAGGAATATGGGTTATTCTTTGCCTCCTTTGACCTCTTTACTGCCAAAGGTGGCCAAAGTCAAAATTTAAATGTCATTTCGTAAGATGCTGAAAAGCAAATAGTACCAATTGAAAGAACTGCCTCTTGAAGAGGTTTCAGTTTGCATATCACATAAATCAGTGTATTTCTGGGCGACTTGGTTGGACATGTGTCCTGTCTGAAGAGATGATTTCTTTGTCGTCCTGCAGTAGCGCTGTGATCAGAAATCAGAACAGATTTGAGGAAGATCTAACCTGGTTTTAGAAGATCTTGGTTCCATCCTCTTTTCGAATGATCTACCTTCTATCCGGGGGGAGTACTTACGTATAAATGGCTAAGGGGGATGTGCCACTGGATGGGGTCTTGTAAGTTAGTCCAAGTACCCCCCGGGCCTTCTACCAACTTATTTAATGGACCGGTGTTTTGTTGTTGCAGTTCCAACAGCTCCTCCTTCCAAACTCGGTATCGTCATCCTTGATTCTCAGCGCCTACTGATTCATTGGGATGAAGTGCCCCCGGACCACCGAAATGGCATCATTCAAGGATACGCACTAAAGTATTCATCTTTGACGAATGGCACCAGCGCTGTGATCACTCTGGGAGAATATGACTTTTCTTTTAAGCTAAAGTCGCTTCACAAGGCCTCCGTTTATGAGATTCGTGTTTGGGCTTTCACGCGCGTTGGACCTGGTAATTTTGCCTCGCAGACTGTTATGACGGAAGAGGACGGTAAGAGGAATGCTTCTCTTCATCAGGGGTCGTTTCCATCGCCTGGTCTGAAACCGAGAGGGGCTGGGTACGAGTCCGTTTATTATGGGATAAACAACACGAGACCCATGTAGTCAGTAAGAGCACATTGAAATTAGCAACATTCTCATGTTTGGTGTTTATCAGGCCTATATTAAACGAGATACAGCCATCCAAAAACTCCAAAATTTTCCAAGAAATATGTAGACGTCGGACGGTGTTTCCCGCAATTCATACATCTCTTATAAATTTTCAAGGTTTTGAATCGCTTTGTCCTGTTCAAAAATGGCCCGATCGACACCAAACTTCATATTTTTCGTAACTTCAATGTGCTTTTTCTGACTATGGGGGTCTCGTCTTATTTAGCCCATAATAAACCGACTCGTTCCCAACCCCTCTCGGTTTGAAACTAGACAATGTTGCCTGCGTTCTCATGTAGATCGTGCTCAACTATACTGGGGTGGTAGGGTAGATCAAGGAGCGTGGTCTATGATACTACAAACCAAGCGTTGTAAAAATGTGCGTGATGGCATTAAACCCTAAAAAACGTATAAACGCGTTGTTAAACCTGCTTTCAAAATTGCTGAATTTCACTTCATAAACCGTGCTGACTATCCATTGTTTCTTTCACAGTTCCCAGTCAACCACCACCCAACATTGAAGCTCAAAATCACACCAGTTTAACAACAATACCCATTTCCTGGGAACCAGTTCCCACTGAATTCCTTCACGGCTTTTTAGCCGGGTATCGAGTGACATACCAAGCCGTAAAAATTGGCGACTTAACAGCGGAAGGCGATCTTATCAGTGAAGATGTTGGACGATTAATTACTTCTATAACGTTACAAAACCTCGAACCTCTTGCGGTTTATAAGATAACTGTGGCCGCGAGAACTAACAAGGGACCTGGGCCCGAGGGTGTCACGTTTGGAGGTGAGTCATGCGCCGATCAAGAGATCATTTTACAGTTGTCGACTTAGTACCCTAGCCTTCGAGTGAATGTGAGGCTGACGGTGACCTTGTTTGGATACAAACCTCCTTTACTTTGTTATGGAAATGGTCCTTGAAAAATATTAGTTAGCATAAAAATAACTTGATTTACATAATAAAGCAGGAAGGTTTGTACCAAAACGAGGTCACCGTCAGCCTCGTTTCTATCGTTAACTGTAAAATAGCCTATTTGAAATTTCAATATTCCCCGGGCAAACCACGACTCCGCGTGACTTTTCGCGTCTCCTCCCATATAAAGACTTTGGACGCAGGCTACAGTTTTTTATGCACCACGAATCATCAGGTTGAACGTCAAGTGCGCCAACTACCGCACGATGTCTTTAGCTATAGATGAGAAAACCTTTCCATCTGACATTCAAGCGTTCCATCAGAGGTGTAGAACTCTTAATTACTTATAGATTATGTTACTATACTTAGCGGTGGCAACAACATTGCCTGCCACAAGTTTCCGTCCCATATCCAGTTCGAAGGACCATTTTCAGTTATCTTTTCCGAATAGAGCATTATTCTGCAACACTTTCCCTTAACACCCTTGGTCAGGATGGTCACCTCAACGGACCAACACAGTGTCTTACCATCAGCTTAACAAACAAACTTTTATCTGTTTTACAGAGACATGCCGATGTCGTTCGCATTTGACAACAAACTGGAGAAATTATCCCCCTTACGTGAACTTGAACTTCGGAAACCTCACGTCTGGTTATTCTTCTGGTTTAATAATCCCGAAGCTGTTGACCCACGTCGTGGATCAGTGCTGTGGGAGGTGTCAGGAACATAACAGGTAATCGGGTTTTATTTTGTTGATGATTTTAATGCCTAATAAAAATTAAAGGGCTCTGGAACCTCTTCACCCGGGGGGAACTCCGCATATGAAAGGGCTGGGGATGCTCGTCGGAAATTTTGAATTAAACCCCTAAAGGAGACCGATCTGGGCGTGGCCCAAGCTTTCTTGACCCCTAAAAGAGACCATGTTAAAACACAGACAATACATATATTTGTATATTTTTTCACGTGCAACCCTAAACAAGACCTTCACGGCTAAATATGATGGCGTTTTGCCCAAAATACCCTAAGTGAGACCAAATTCCGAGATTTACACCCCTAAGCGAGACGATGAGCATCCCCACCCCTTTCATATGCGGAGTCCACCCCCCGGGCCTCTTCTCATGCAGACTTTTGTATTGTAGAAAGCTTAATAGGCCATTTCCAGCTTCCTGTAGAAAACTGACTAATCTGTAGGTTGCGCGCCCGCCAATGTACGATTTCCTGGATCAGCGTCAAACTGTGTTCCGTGTGACGGTGTGTTTGTCACGATTTCCTTTAAAACAATGTCTGATGAGACAATTATTAGATTCAATTTTTGTGATATCCGAAATAATCAAGGTCTCGGTAAGTGTTATCACCTGAGGCCGATAATATTGCTCCCAACGAAAAGCCTAAAACATTTATTTAATCTATCTGTACCGCGTTATTCATTTTTACATCACACTTCGCAGGTTAGGTTGGTTAGGTCTGGGATGGGATCATGTATCTTTCGGGGGGTGTCGATCGATGTATCGACCGATATCTCGATCGACATATCGGTCGCTATGTCGGTCGAGTGTCGACAGAGTATCGGCCGAGTGTCGGTCAAGAGTTGGTCGAGTATCGGTCGAGAGCCTGTCGAGTCTCGACCGCTTTGTTGGCGACACGCGGCCGCTACAGTCTATCGGTCGATACTCGGTCGATAGTTGGTCGATTGTCGGCCGATACTTTGCCGACGGATCATGTATCTTCACCGGCGAGTCTTTTCTCAGCAGGATTCCCTAAGCATTAATCTTTACAGCAGTTAGCAAAACTATGCAATCGCTTCTGTCTGAGATGTTGATGTGTTAAAAAAAAAACTCTTTAAAGGATTTGAATGGGAATTATTACACCAGGAAGGAAATTAACGTGTAATTATATCATTTAAATCAACAGATCAAGGCTAGATTTCAGGCTTAACGGAAATAACCAGGCAGCCCAGCAGACAACCATCGAGCAATTTAGAAAAAATATTGACAGCCAGACGGACTTCTCATTCCCTGTTATAGGGTACAAGTTACAAGACAGTTACAAGGGAGGTCTGGGTTATTCGCCTTTTGTGGAATCAGCGGGCGTGGTGTTTATCGTGTATACAGACAATTCTAATGTAAAAGATACCATGGTTTCGGCTCTTTTTGCTTGCTGGCCTATTGTGCTGATACCCTTCATCATGGCTTATATTGCTGGTTTCTGCATTTGGGTACTGGTACGTGCCTTCATGTTTTTATCTGTGTGCAAATTGTGATAAACAAAGCCCTAAAATTGCATAACTTTTTAAACAAATATTCTTTAAGTGGCCTCAAGTTACCGCTACTAAAGGTCCCACAGTCGAAAGTTTCCACAAAGTCCATCATAGTGATTGAGGTACCTAGCTGTTGTTGGTGGTGGGCGTTTGTTTCGCATTGTACAGGCGTTTAAAAAATATTGAATGTAGGTATCTGTCGGGGTAATGACCAGTGGTCGTTGTAAACCATGTGGCCTTTGTTAGCGATTCGGCTGTGCTGCAATAATCAATCTCATCGTATCGTCCTCGACAACTTATTAAACCCCAAACGCTAGTAACGTCGTCAGTAGCGGTCTACTCTCTGATCTTGCATTGCTATTATTCGTTCCAAAACACTCCTCATAACAAATTTAGCAAGTCAACTTACTTATGCTCTAACAAAGACAGCTCATCCGTCTAAGAAATTTCATTATTTCCTTTGTTTGTTTGTTTGTTTGTTTTTTTCTTTCTTCATTTATGTATTTATTCATTTATTCATTCATTCATATATCTATTTATTCATTTATTCATTTATTGACAGGACTCACAATCAAACACCGAACACTTTCCAGGGTCATTTCTCCGTGGAACTTGGGAAGGACTCTGGTGGGCCTATGTTTCCATGACAACACTAGGGTAAGCCTTTTATTGTTTTTTTTATGCGTGACACACTGATATGATTTTATATCTTACCCCATAAAAACTTTACTTACTTTCTTTGAAGACTACGAACGCTTTGGCATGAAACTATCAATCTAACTTTCAACTACCAATCAAATATCATAAACATGATGCCTAAAAATGTTCTTTGTGCTTATAGCTACGGTGACCGCTGCCCAGCAGGTAACATTGGGCGCGCTTTCGCCACTGTCTGGGTACTCATAGGACTCGTAGTGGTCTCGCTGATGACGGGTGCACTAACAACAGCATTGACCTCGATCACAGAGACTTCTGGGGTTCAGATATATGGATCTAAGGTAAAGATAACGGGCCGAATCACAGTTTCGGTGGTGCCTTATCACAGTTAACAGTCATTATTCCACGAGTGAGCGTTGGATATGAGTTGGCTATAATCATCTCATATCCAACAACCGTGAGTGGAATAATTGTTTTATTAAAAATGCCCACAAAATATTGAGAATTCTTCCCCACTTTATTTGTAAAAACAACCGATTTTTAGCTTGTTTTTAATTTTGAGCAGACGCGTAAAGTTACCATATTTGCACAGCATGGTATAATGGCTCATATACCATGATGGCTAAGCCAATCAGAGCTCTAGAATTGTATTATCCCATGATTCAGGTTTTTATAATAAAGTATATACAGTGGAACCTCAACGAAGTGCCAAGGGACCAGCAAAACATGCTCTCTATAAGGTGATTTCGTTATATCGAGATTCTTTTCCATAAATGTTACTATTATTGGGGTAAAGAAATTTGTTTTTTATACCGAGGGCCTCGTTGTAATTATAGAGGTTCGTTTAATCGAGGTTCCAGTGTATACTTGTAACTTAACTCAGTTGATGTCTAACTGAAATCGCTGTGAGGGCTTTTCATAGTAGACCGGTTCCTGCCGAATTTTACCGGCGTGTTCTTGTGTCCCGGACAACCGTTCCAGCTTCAGGATGGTACACACAGCATTGAAGTCGGACATTGAAGTTACACCAGAAGCTGTCAGTATACAACCCGATGTCTGTATCACCGTGCAATGGACGACAAAAAAAGTCGAGACACAAACAGGAAAACAAGACAATAATGCGGAGCCCACCCCCACCCCCAAACCACTGTTAACTTTTTTGTTACTGTCGTTTCCTATAGCTATGGTATAAACAGCAGTACAATATCTTTTGTGGGATATTAGCGAGAGGGAAGGCTAGCTTTTTTTTCCATTTTTAACGGAGATAGTCCCTTAAAACGCAAAAACGGCCGTTTAGTACAAAGTGTCCCTTTTAGTCGGAAACTTCTTTACATCATCATTTATTTTGTCGTTTTTTTAGATTGGAGCAATTCATGGTTCACCCGAGTACAATCTCGGAATCAGGAGAAATGCGATTATGAACAAAGGTGAGAGAAGCATTTGATGTTTTTATCAGAGTGCATCACATTTGTTCGTACATTTCTTTGCTGTCACTGCACGACTACGACGTGAAAGCGCCTAATTCACCACTTGCATATCTCCCATAATACTCTTTGTTTGTCCCCCAAAATTTTGCATAACCTTCGCTTTTCATTTCTCCTGGGTATTGCAGCCGTCCGAAGAGAAATTGAAAAAAATGCTTGTTAAAAATTTTGTTGGGCAAATAAGGTGCATTATGAGAAATGTGCAAGTGGCGAATGGAGGACGTAAACAAGCGAAGACGAAATTTTCTCTCTTTCTAAACTTGAGTGCAGTCCCCAAGAAGTCAACTCCAGCGACAAGTTTTGAAAAAAAACGCGAGTTCATTTTAAAAGTGACGTTTTGACTGCGGTCGCCGCCGTCAATGCTTCTAAGCTTCCTTTTCAAAGGAATTAACAACAAGAAGCGCCAGAAGTGCTAGTGGTTATAGTGGTTGGTTTATAGGTGCATGCGCACAAGTTCTTTGCATCACATACGTAACGTATGTTTTTTATGTATATCTTTAGACAAACATTATAACACCATCAAGGAACTAGCCGATGCTCTTTCCGAAAGAGAAGTAGTCGGCGTGCTGATAGACACATACGCTGGCGCAACCCACAGAGAACTCTTCGCCAATCCTTCATTTAGAATTGCACAGATTATTGACCATAAAACAGCTTACGGTGTAGTCATTGGCGGAGACTCAATGCGTCTACGTCATTGTTTCTATGGTTACATGCGCTCTCATCGAGCGGAGATTTTCTCGCGGGTGAAAGAATTGGTTAAGCCTATTGAGGTGAGTCTTACCATGATTTCTTTGTCTTGATCCTCTCTGCCTTAAACAATCACTTATCATGAATCCACTCGGTCGTGGATTTTATTGGATCTAAAGTCCTTTTTGGCCTTTAGAAAACAGTTCCTTTAGAAGCAAAACGCAAAATTTGTTGCTGGATTCAAGAATCCCGATTTGGATTTCCTCCAACAAAATGGACCCTTATTAACACTTAATCATTATCTGCAGTCAGATCCCGTTAATAAGTAATTTGCGACACCTTCGAGTCTTCACCAAACAGTCACACCATGCTTTATGGGCACCCGCTTAATACGGCACGTAGTGTCCGGTGTGGTGGTCTATCTCACTTTCACACTCATGTATGGGGGAATCATTACTCATTCCTTCATTACTTGTAAACTGCACCTTAAGCAGTCTGGCAAAGTCCCCCAGCCAGTGTTGTAAATTATCCCTAAAAGACTCGAGGGGAGTGGATAATATGATATTTACATGTACATTTTTCATTTACACCTCATTATTACAGACAGTTTGCTTTGTCCCTGGGGAAAGAAACTCTTACATTTTCCCTTAATTCAACCTGCTTAACGGACACCGCATTAATACGGACGCTTTCTATGCCCCCCTCAGTGTCCGTATTAACCGGGTTTGCTGTATAACGTATCTCTTTATTTTCCAGGGATCAGGTGTGTCCGATAAACAAGTCGTTCAGGAAATCTCCACTGGTTTATTTGATAGCGGCACCGATCTTTTCCGTAACACGCTGCTCATAAGCGCTACATGCACCATAGCGGCTGTGGTTTTGGGTCTTTGTTTTGACGCTGTGAGGAGGATACGACATCGAGCAAAAGTCGATCAGAATAAAGGTGAGGCGGTTCATTGCCTTTGATCGAAGCGAAATGCAACCTACACGTAGCCTGCAAGAAAGTTCTCCATTTGGGATTCAACGCGAGAAGTTAGGGCGCACGCGTAGGAAGCTAGTGAAGCAAGGCGTGGGGACGAGATACAATTGGTGCTCGCTCGTGCATATCCTTTGTTTTTGTACTGTTTAAAAAATGAGCAGGAGTGTATTATCAGGTTTAAAAACTCGAGGCGAAGCCGGGAGTATTTAAACGTGATAATACACGACTATCATCAACAACATCATCATCATGTTTATTATCATAATCACCATCGTCATTATCACCATCGTCGTCATCATCATTATCATCATTATCATCATCATCATCACTTGTTGCGATTTACAATCGACTGCAACGGTTAATGATAAACTCGTGACCCTCTTTTGAATAACTTAATTATGATAGATTGTAGTACTGTATAGTGAGAAATGTCTCTGGTACTTCATACAGGTTTATCAGTTCATAAAGAAAAGATGATTAAAGAAATGAGGTTGACAGTGAAAGATTTCTGCCAGCATTCGACAAACACTCTAAGTGTTATGAAGGCAAAGTACAAGAAGGAACTTCTCAAACGCGCGAAGTATTCTTCAATGAGAGAAAACAGGATATTTTCTACATCTACAGTTTCTTCAGCTTTTAAATCCAAAGAAGTCGTTGACATTTCCGTTATCAATTTGGAAAATAATAAAAACGAAGACTCTAAATGTTAAATGTATCAGGTATTAAGAGCTAAATAACATGATGTTGGCATGTTGACTGTTCCAGGTTGTTCTTAGCATATTTTTGTTAAGATTTGGTCCATTTTAAGCTACATTGTGTAGATGCGTGCCGTGAAGCTACTTGTACCCTGGCTTTCTTAAGGAAAATAAAATTGAAAAATGACTCAGTAAAAATATTGTCCATTCTGTGCGGTTCGGCGTGACTATTTGAGGCATTTTGCTATAACATCGCATTTTGTAACAAGGGTCAAGGGGTGAATTTAGTGAAAACGTACGCATTTTGTAACAAATGGAAGCAACGTTATTTTTTCTCGCTTTTATTCAATGGTTGTTCCAAGGTTACCGAGGAGATGCGATCAAAATTCCTCCCACAAATGAAATATTTCCCCTCTACAATATTTATAACCCTTTCCCCTCCCAACCTCCATCCCTCCGCGTGGGACTGGGAACGAGGATGTCACGGCTCGTGCGCTTGATGTTTGCTTGAAAACTTCATCGTTACTCAGTGTTACTCTCTCGAATAAGTAGTCCTATACGCTAGTTTTGACCCAGCAACCTCGTTTTGGATATGACCAACAAGCAGGTATTGCAAACGTTGGACAAGGACAATAAGACGACGGGAACTGCTGGCGTCATTCATCTGACCACACAAGGAGGCGGCGAATGCAAAAAGTTGGAAGGACAGTGACGTCACCAGAAGGGAATAATACGATGGTTGTCAAGAGACGACACCATTGGGAGTATAAGTGAGTATTTATTTTACTTATTTAGTTTAGATATATGTTTACCACATTGACGTTTATAACATGTCTATTGTGAAGCGATGATATGACATTTCATGTATTTGAACTGAGGGAGAAAGATTTAACGCGCGTGAAAGTTCTTCGTATTTGAGAGGCAACTTACCTGTTGTATTTATGTCCCATCGGACCTCTTCCCGCTTTTCCTTTGACAGGATGTGCCTGTCGCCTTTTCTCTTCCTTTATTGGCGTTTTTTTTTTTTCCAATTTTAGTTTTTGCTTGGATGATGGATGACAAAAAAAACGTGACGGCTTTTTTCCTTTCGACTGGGGTTACCGTCAAAAAAGCGACCTCACGGTTCTGGAGAAGCCCCTATACCTTTCTGATCACCCTTCCCCTCCGCCCGCGAAAGTACGATGGCTTCGCTTTGGGCTGCGACAATTGAGCATAATAGAGGGCCTGCTGGACGATTTACTGATATCAGTGTGTGACATGAACGCAGAACAAGACAACGACGAGGACGCAGTGTTGGTCCACCGGCTACTGTACGGATGTGAAAAACGACGTGCTTTCAGTAAATGCCGCTGAATTCAGCGCGGAACGGGAATACGAGAAGGGAACTGGAGCCAAAAAGCGTCCCGCAAGTGTTTCTGGGATTGTTACTGGGGACGCGCCTGTCAGCTATTGGTCAATTATTTTCCCTACAACAGTACCAGAAGTCTCTGCGAAAGGACCGAGGACCGTGGTTTCTGGAACCCGTAATTGATGAAGCAAGCGCATGGAGCACTTTGCGACGAGGGTGCGACAGACTGGCACTTCTTTCCAGCATAGAAACATTTGTTGGTTTATTTTGCATTTGGCAAGAATTAAAACAGCTGGGAGTTGACAGCCGAGAGTGGCGCAACAATGCTTTGATGGGCTAATTTAGCGCACAGGACTTCTGACGTGAGGGTGCATATTATGTGAGGAGAAAAGATCAAAGAGCTGGGGTTCGTTGGCTGTTACATACAGTTTTTTCTTGAGTTTCAGCATCTCTGAAAAGTAACGCTTAAGTTACCAAAGCAAACAGAGGTAAATTTTTATTTAATTTTTATTTAATTATGCGGAACAATTACTGTTAACTGGATTTTACATACTAGACAGCATTCATCTCTCTGAGAGGATGTTTTCAAGTAATAAAATTTCGGAAAACCGAAAAAAAAGTAAACCCGTACCAGGGGCGGATCTAGGAGGAGGGTGCAGGAGGTGCGCACCACCCCCTCCCCCTGAGATGACCTGCGGTTTTCTAATACAACTGGTATTCTGCGAAAAAAAACTATGTGGTTTATTGGTGTTGAAGTAGAGCAAGAGACGAGTGCACCCCCTCCTAAAAAAAAATTTTGGATCCGCCCCTACCTACCATGTTAAGTTCAGCTGCAAGAAAAGCTACAAAATTTGAAAACTGGAATGATCTAGGCAAGGAAACGGAAAATGCTAGTCTTGGGTGCAAAAGCGTGAGCGGAGTTGCGCACTGAACAAACGCAGTTGGTTTCGCAAATCAGTACTTATTTTCCAGTCTCACAGCTGAAAACACTTTTCCAACGAAACAATCAGTTTTCTAATAAGCAAACTTACTTTTAGGCTTAATTATAAGCTTTCTAAAAGTCTCTGTTTCCTTAACTGCAAATGGTTACATTAGATCAGAAAATGCTGCCGAATATTTCGTTTTCGTTGTTTCCTAAACATCATCTGAACCATACAACCAAGCATTAAGTGGACTGATACTTATGCTTAGTAATTCTTAGTATTACTTATTACTTGTTAATTCTAGTATTTAAGTGGAGTGCCTGTAAACTAGCTGGATAAGCTAAGTGGACTTTTCACTATAAGCAAGCCTTTAAACCTTTAAACCCAAGATGTAGTAATTATAAACAACGGTCGATGCAAGAATCCTTCATCGAAGAATTCTTAAGCCATGTTGCCAAATTGGATGATTCAAACGTAGTTTTCAAAACCGCCCCAACAGCGCGGCTGTGCCGCGAATATCACTGAACCATTTTGTAGAGTCTAGTATGGCAAATAATCTTGCTATGGCTCTGGATGTCGTTCTATGAGACAACTAAAAAGCTGAAAAGACTTAAAAGTATTTTGGTGTCAAAAACTTATGACATTTTTTTTTACTTACGCTTACTTACTTACTTACTTACTTACTTGTTATGACAGCAAATGCTGTTGACTTGTTATCAAAGCCAAGGGAAAAACGCAAAAACAATAAAACAAAAAATCTTCTAACTTCCAAAATTTTTTGTTGATGCGATGTGTGCGCTCGCAACCCCATGGGACGCTGAGGTCCTTGGGTTGTTTGTCTGCAAATTAGCGCCTGCGCAGTATTTTTGTAAAAAGAAGTGACGAAGAGCATGTCGGAGATTTCAGACGAGGAATCCTGCAATAACTTGCAGTGAGCTAAAATGAAAATAATTTGCAGCTCTGAGAAAAGGAATTAAAATAAAAAAGACAAGACCTTGGTTGAAACTTGGGAAATAAACGCATGAACGAACAACGATTTTCGTCGTTTCTCTCAGAAACAAAGAGATATTTCGAGTCAGAAAAAATATTTTGCGTTCATATTCGTAGTAAAGTCTACCAGTATGCAAAAGTTGAGCAAATTTTATTTTAAATTTCCGCAAGTTAGCGATTTTGTTTGACTTTTTAACGTAATCAAGTGAACTCAGCGTGAGACCTTGTCTATTAATTTATTCATTGGACTCAGCCTACGGCCTTGTCCAATTTTATATGTCGTCGGAATTTTTTTTAGCCAACTGTTTCATTTTCTTAATTACCTCTAGTACCTATAGTTACCATAACCGCCAAGACCGCCTTCGCTGTCTTCGTCAGTGTCGTCAGCAGAATAATAGTAATAATCAGCAGCATCATCGCCAAGATCTTCTTCGCTGATTTCGTAAGGGTCGTCTGCAGAGTAATCACCATAATAAGACCATCACCCACAAGAGCAACTTCATTGTCTTTGTCAGTGTCGTCGGCATAATAATAATAATAATAATAATAATAATAATAACAATAATAATCAGCACCATCACCACCAAGTTCCTATTCACTGATTTTTTAAGTGTCTTCGGCTTCATAATAATCAACACCATCTTCACAGTCGTTGTCATAAACTATATTTCCGGTAAGATTTCCAAGAAATCGTCCTACAAGTGCACCTACCACACCTCCTATAGCAGCTCCCACAGCTGGAACGGGAATGAGAGCTTGTCCGGCGGCCATTCCAAAAGTAGACCCTGCTACACGGCTGGCGCCAGTCACAACTCTCTTCCCCACAGTTTTGTCGTATCCTTTTTGGTCGATTCTTCCTGTTTTCAAATCGCCCTGTACTTTTCCAATATCATATGCCATTAACACACCCTCAAAAGCCACAGCAAGTGCTCCTCCAGCTAGAATTCCTCCAACTCCAGTTCCAGCACCCGAAGCCATCGTGGTAAGCCCGTTTTTTGCCATCGAGTGGGTCATCCCTGTTCTCATAATTACTCGTCCTGTGTGTGATGCGCTACAGCCTGCAATTTTTGCCTCCGCTCGGGCAGCTGCTTTACTTACAAGCTGTTGTCCGACCTCTTCGTTGACCATCTCTAAGCCTTTGTTAATTTGGTCGCGCGATGATCTTCCTGTGATACACCACATGGCAAAGTTTTCACAGTTATTGGTAAATAGGTTGTATTGTTCCTCTCCAATCTTACTTTGCGCTTTCGAGAGAACAAGATCGCGATCGAAACTTTCGTGTAGCATCAGGTATACAGTAACTTCTTGAAATCGGTGCGTTTTTTCCATCACCTGAAATTTTCCTGAAGGAGTTCTGCTGTACTCGATAGTTTTGATTTCACCGCTCTCTTCATCGACATGTTTTACTATAGCGTGATGACAATAAATACCTTGGAGCCGATAGAAAGCAATGTGATCTGCTCTTTGAAGTTCAGAAAGGTTGAACACACGTCTCCTGGGAACTTCATACTCTTTTCCATAACTATTGTACCTTAAGACGTCGTCACGGTAGGCCATGATTGAAGCACCTATTAACACAAATCTCTTGTTATCATTCTATCGTATATATTCAGAATTATTTTTCTTTAAAATTTCTCCGTTTACGGTAAGCCTAAATAACCCAACTAATTCTTCATATCCGGCTACCCTGACCAAATTTGGAAGATGGTAGCCAATAGGGAGTTTAAGATCCAACGACGCGGACGACAACGAGAAGGTCAAAAAAACAATAGGTTTAATTAGCAAAACAACAACTTCGCACGTGCATCACACTTTTTTGTACATTTCTTTCCCGTTTTTGCACGACTAGGACGTGAAAATGCCTAATTTCGCGTTTTATGGAGAACGTAAACAAGCAACGACGAAATTTTATTTCTCTTTCTGAGCTTGAATATGGTCCCTTGAAATTCAACTCCAGGAGGGTTCGCCTACAATTGACAAAGTAAGTGGGTAGGAATAATCGCTATAAACACTGAAAGAACGCAAATTCACCTTTCAAGCGACATTCTTGTCGCCGTCGCGTCGTTGGAACTTAAAGTCCATAATATCAATACAATTGACGTCAGTTGTACAAATATCAACAGAAAAAAGCGCAGCCGGCAGAAGGCGCGTTACCTAAGCTGTTTTGGCAGAGCTGAAGAAATGAAGGAAGATTTTAGCGTTGTACGAAGAGGAAATCGCCGAACTTCTGCCTAAAAAAAAGATTAGCAAAAATACCTCTCAGTGGATGAAAACTGCTATTTGAAGAATTTTTCCTAGAGTAAAAACCCATTGAAAACCTGAAACATTCGAGGAACAGGCCGAAAAAGTTATGAAGACGGGAAGAATTATATGGACTTGGCGGATTTAAACACTCCCCGATGTGCATTTCTACATAAAGAGGCGCTTCCTGCTCGAAAAGACTGCCATTACAGAAGTAACAGACCGCAATATTTTTCAGAAAGGACATCCCAATTTATTCTTTTTTCTTATTTATTATTATTGTTTTTTAATTGTTCGTAAGTTTAAATATTTATACAATTGTGTAATGATGAAATTGTAATATTTGATTGGGATTTAAGAAGAAGGCAAAATGCGCCCAGTATAGAGATTTCGCCTTCGGTCGTCTATGCAGAAAAACGAACACTGTTAATTATTAACCCAGTAACCCTGAAGGAGTTGCGTGTTTCCCTCAAGCCGTTTTTTTATCTTTGCAGCTTCCCTTTACACTGTAGAGCTTTTCGTGTTAATATTTCCTTCTGTTTAATGCAACACACGACTTTTTGAAGGTCTAGATTTCGGATAAGGATAAAGAAGACTCGGACGACGAAAATAGGAACTTTGAGACTTTCGCAGTCAAGTTCAAAGCTTAGCGAACTGTTTGGCGAGAGGGCAAATGTGCGGTGAATCTGCGACCAAAGCTTCACCGGGAGCTTCACAAAGACCATCTTGAGAGAAATAGAGTACTAAGGCAAGTTTCTTACTATTATGTTTTTTGACTTAACACCCGAGAGCTTACAGCTGTTCTCAATGTGGTACAATGTGGCCCAGTGTTTTTACTTTTGTTTGTATCTGTATCCTGCCTGGTCTTTTATTACATTACTTTGTGCATGATCTTGTTATGCTTCTTCTTATTTCCGTGTCTTCGCCCATTCAGCAAGCAAGCACGATAATCAGCATTAGCGAATTTCGATAAACTTTGAAAGTTCGCAGCTCGCGTCAGGTTTCTCGCTATACATACCTTTTTATGGAGCCTGCGAACCGCGGACTTATTTCCGGTCGTCGCTTCTCTTCCTCCGAAAAATATTTTTATTATTTTTTTGTTATTATTTTTCGGAGGGAGAGAAGCGACGATCGGAAATATGTCTGCGTAAGCTATCGAAAATGGGAACTTAAAAAAAAAACTCCCAGTCCTCACTCCCGAATATCACTTCCGTCCCAGTGGATTCCAGTCCTCGCTCCTCCTTATTCATTTCCACCACGGTGCATCCATCTATGCTACCCAGCCAAAATACGTGTCCAAACTGCACCGGTAAAATGTGTTTAACCTGTCTGAAACGTGGCGCTCCACTTTCGAGATCGGCGCGGTGCAGCTTTGCTCCGCTACAGAAATCATCCCCAAATCACCGTAATTAAGTGTAAAGAGAAGTCCAATCCGGTATGGTTTTAATTCCCGGCGTAAGAATTGTCCGGTATGGTGTAAAAACCTTATTATAGGAAATTAACGCTCCATGAAAGTAACGCGAATCGTTAAAATTCGCGTTAATTTAAGTCGCGTTAATTTTGTTGAGCGTTAATTTCCGCGACGTTAATTAAGTGCAGCGTTAATTTCTGCGCTCTTAATTTCCAGTATTTCAACCCCAATTTTGGAACCTGTCCAGACATTCTTGACACCTAAAAAACATTAACTACAAGCTTTCTTTCTCTCCATTTACCCTTTATTTTTCATCTTTCACAAAAGCTCAGGAGAAGGTTTACAATGTTTCGAGTTCATGTTCATCGTTGTCGCTGTCAGAAGTGAGGTCAATATCTTCTCCTTTAATTTCGGCCAAGATAGATTTCGAATCGTCAACATAGTCTTTCTCGACAGAATATGATTTCCTTTATTATGAAATTCGACCTCCTCTTTCGCGTTAATTTTCTTTATTCGAATATCGGTTTCCATTAAATTCGCGTTGATTTAAGTCCTTAATTTCATGGAGCGTTAATTTGCTATAATAAGGTATAGCCTAAATAGTTGCTCTTTCCAGAACTTGACCGGGGCAAGGCCATTTCCGGATCGAAACTACGTTCTCAAGTTAACGACATATTTTTGCCACATTTTTTTCACAAACTCATATTAAATAGCTAACATTCTATCAAATACATCAAAGACACAAACTCAATCTTCAACAAAGAATGCAATCTATTTTACCGTAGAGTTCTGGGAAGGAATTTCCGACTAACAGTTTGAAAGCAAGTTAGTTAGTCAATTGAAGCAAAACATTTATCTTATCTCAAAAATTCGGGGATTTTTTGAGATAAGTTATCTTATCTCAAAAATTTGGGGAAACTTTTTGCTTCACTTGACTACATTGTAGCTAACTTGCTTTCAAACTGTTAGGAGCTGCGCAAACGGAACGGTGGCTTTCCACACGAGTCAGGATTTCTACTTTATATTAAAGTTTCCAGCATTCTACTTCAACGCCTGTCGATTATTATTTAGGAAATATAGTTGCATTTTCAGTTTCAACGTTAAATGGTGTTTCAGATTGTTTCTGGACCGGCTGAATACGCGTTCAATGGCAAAAATGAAAATCAAGGGCCTCTACGTTATTTTTTCAAGGATACACAAAATCGAAACAAATTAGTTGATATACAAAGTAAATTACGGTGACCCTCAAGGGACAACCGTAGTAACTTGCGATCGCAACATTACCCAGCCTGAAATAGTCTCAGCTACAAAAAGCTGCTGTCTTATTTGAGGTTTGTAATCAAGTTACTTCACCAGCAGACTATAAAAGCAATCTGCTCATTTTTAAATGTTCACTACCTGAAGTAAATATAATTAAACAGATTAGCCCTACTAAAACCAATCCTTTTCTGCCCTCCCTTTGCCCACAGCGCTTCACATTACGTAGGAAATTACTGGTCTAGTGATTTTCATCGCATTCGTGGAAACCATCAACAACATCTAGGAACTGAGTTGGTTGGTCGCTAAAGGATCTGAATGTTGCCCCTTGTGAAGAAGACTTTGATTTACATAAGCATGCATCATCAGTTAATCACTAGTGTTTGATTTTGAGACTTTCAGAACTTACCTTGCAAAGCTAAAATATCGAAAAAAGGCAAAGTTAGCTTTCCTCCTGATTCCGAGCAATGGAAAATGGCAGTTATGTACATGTAGCAGCTATTTAAAACCTCTATTTTCACGGATCATTTGTTTTAGGCTGAGCAACTTTACCAACCAATCCTGTGAGTTCTTGTTATCCGAAATTGAAAGCGAAACTACTTTCATTCCTCCCCGGGGGAGGGGAAGAGGGGGAGCTTTACACTAGGATCAAGAGGCTCTGAGGACGCAGGAATTGATAATTAAGATCAGTATTCTTCTGGTTATTGCCTATGCAATCTTGATTCCTCTCCAAGCAAATTTTATAAATTTGTGGAATTCGAGTCGCGCGGGGATCGATTGAAGTTCTAGTCGTCTTTATACATTCCGGCGCGACGGTGTCCGCCAGTGCCTACCGCGACACAGTTCCCAGAGCTTACGTCCGAGGCAAGGTTAGGCCATTTCCGGATCGAAACTAAACTCTCAAGTAAACAAGGTAATTTTCCCTCATTTTGCACGAAAGCTCATAATAGCCGCGACATTCTATCAACTACATGAATATAACAAACTGAATCTGCAATGGAATAAACGGAACGCAATATATTTTACCGTAGAGTTCCACGCAGGAATTCACTTGATTTTAATAATTCTGGGGGACGAATTACGTTACTGATGAGTTAACTTGCTTTCAAACTCTCAGCCTTCGCAAACTGAACGTGGGTTTCTTTACGAAATCGGATTTCTCCTCTGTATTAAGCTTCCGTCATTACACAGGGGCACCCAACGACTGATTTCTGTAAAATATCTGTTCGGAGAGGCAAATATTGCCTAGATTTTTCTTTTACTTGAGGACGGCTAAAAATTTCTAGCTGACCGTTCCATAATAAATTCCCAACGATTTTCTGACGTTTAATTCTTCACATTTCACTCCCCAGGTTAAGCTATATATCATAGAAAAAGGAAACCTAACATTTTCGAATTCGAAAACGCGATACAGAGAGGAATTGAAGAAAAACTCTAATGTTCATAAAGCTTTAAATTACAACTAAAATTTTCAGGAAAATAACGCTGATTAAAGAAATGAGGTTGACAGTGCAAGATTTCTGCCAGCATTCGACAAACACTCTAAGTGTTATGAACGCAAAGTACAAGAAGGAACTTCTTAAACGCGCGAAGCATTCTTCAGTGGGAGAAAAGAGAATATTTTCTACATCCACGGTTTCTTCGATTTTCAAGTCCAAAGAAGTCTTTGATATTTCTCTTATAAATT